TCCCTAAGTGGCTGTGAGCATCAGGGCTGAGCCAAAGGCAGGAACCAGGAACACGATCTGAGACCTCACATGGGTGGCAGAGGTTCAGCTACTTGGACCATCTTCCACTGCCTTTGCAGGCACATGAGCAGAGCACTGGATCAGAAGTGGAGCAACCAGGACTGGAACAAGTGTTCCAATATGGGATGCTGGTATAAAAGGCTGCAGCTTAACTTGCTGTGTCACAGTGCCAGCACTGAAGTTTTCAATTTTAACAATGTCCAGTTGATATTTTTTTCTTTTGTGGCTTGTGCTTTTGTGATCGTATCTAAGAAACTATTGTCGAATCTAAAATGATAAAAATGATGCTTCTTTCTTTTAAGAGAAGCGTTTTGTATTAAGATCACTTGTGGTGCTAACATTTCATGTTGGAGTGCTGGCTCAGCTGCTGCCTCCCACCCAGCTCCCTGATAATGAGCCTGGGAAAGCAGCAGAGGACAGCCCAAGTGTTTGAATCCCTACCACCCATGCAGGAGACCTGGATGGAGTCCCAGGTCCATGGTGTCAGCTTGACTGAAGGAGCCCTGGATACTACAGTCCCTTGGAATGAACCAGCAGATGAAAAATTTCTGTGTGTCTGCTCCTTTTGCTCTCTGTCATTCTGTTATTCAATTCAGTATCTCTCTTTCTTTCTTCCTCTCTTACTCTCTCCTGTTACTTTCTTCTCTATTTTTCCCCCAATATTTTTATTTGAAAGGCAGAGTTATAGAGAGGAGGAAAGACAGAGAGATCTTCCATCTGCTGATTCATTCCCTAGATGGCCACAAAGGCCAGAGCTGAACAGATCCAAAGCCTGGAGCTTCCTCCAAATCTCCCGCATGATGCAGGGACCCAAGGATTTAGCCATACTTGCAGCTACTTTCCCAGGGCATAAATAGGGAGCTGGATTGGAAGTGGAGTAACTGGGATTCAAACCATCACTCATGTGGGATGTCAGCACCACAGGTGAAAGTTTAGACTGATACGCCATAACTCCAACCCCTAGCCCTCCTTTTTAAAAACTTATTTATTGGAATGGTAGAAGGAAGGAGAAACAGAGAAAAAAAAGAGTGAGAAAGACATATTTTCCATTTTTGGTACACCCTAAATGCCCACAACATACAACAGGCCCAGCCAAAGCCAGGAGCATCTTCTAGATTTCCCACATGGATGGCAGGAACCCAAGCACTTGGGCCCTCTTCTGCTGCTTTCCCAGGCCATTCACAAGGACATGGATCAGAGGCAAAGCATCTGGGACTTGAAAGAGTTCTCACATGGGATGCCAGCGTCACAGTTTTAACATGCTACACCACAATACCAGTGCCAAGCGAAGTGTTTTAGCTCTTACAAGTTCATTTCGAGTTCAGTTTTGCAAGTGGTATAAGATATGGACATAAATGCATTTTTTTTTTACATGTGGGCTACTGGTTTTCTCAGCACCGTGTGTTGAAAAGACTTTTCTTTCATTGTTGGATTTTCTTGACTACCTCTAAAAATTAATTGGCTGTGTGAGGGTTTGTTCCTGGACTATCAGTTCCATTCTGTTAATCTATATGTTTTTCTATATGGCAGTACTACATGTTGTCTTGATAATTACAGCTTTGTAGTAAGTTTTGAAACTGGAAAGTGTTAAGTCTTCTGCCTATTCTTTTTTTAAGATTGTTTTGACTATACTGAGTTGATCCTACTATTCTTACCCCAAGTGAAGAGGCCTCGCCCACACTCCCTTTTCCAGGGTATTCATTATCTTAACCTACAACCCTAATCCTCACCCTCTCCAGCCTCATCTCCCTCCATGGTTTCTTTCAGTTTCTCAGACATTCCAAAGTCCTTCCTTCCTAAAGAACTTGAATTTATATTCCTGTGGCTAAGAAAATTCCCCTCTCTCCCACATAATACCAAAGCCAACTTCTTTTGTCACTTGGTCTCTGCTCCAGTGTATTATCTCAGAGTAGCATTCACTAATCCATGATCTAAAGTAGGAACCTACCAAACTCTTTAACGCTGTCATATTAGCTAAATGTTATCACACTTAGCACTGTTTCAAATTGTATATATATCTATTTTTTTTTAGTTATTTAGTCTATATCTCCTGTGTTGGAAAAGAAACTCCAGGAAAGCAGGTTTCTTACCTTATTAACTCTGAATTCCTACAAATAGAATACTTCCTGGCATATAATTGATATTAAAAATATATTTATTGATTGAATGATCCCTAAACAACCCTTTAGTAGGATTTAGTACCAGTAAGAGAGGTAAGAGGCAGTAGAACAGGTCCTCAGCCTAGGATTGCTTTCTGTGGACACACCCTCTTCCCTCACTTTGTACTGCTCAGCAATTATCCCTCTCTTTTGAAAGATTTTAATTTGTGGGCCTGGCACAATGGCTCAGTTGACTGAGTCTTCATCTGGCAAGTTCTGGGATGACATATGGCTGCTGGTTCATGTCCTGGCTTCTCCACTTCCCATCTACCTCCCTGGCTCTAGCCTGGGAAAGCAGTCAAGGATGGCCCAAAGCCTTGGGACCCCGCATCTATGTGGAAAAACCGGAAGAAACTCCTGGGCCCCATATTGGATTTAAAAACAAATGGGTGGGCCCGGCGCGGTGGTGCAGTGGTTAAGGTCCTCGCCTTGCACGCCCGGGATCCCATATGGGTGCCGGTTCTATCCCGGTAGCTCCATTTCCCTTCCAGCTCCCTGCCTGTGGCCCGGGAAAGCAGTTGAGGACGGCCCAAAGCTTTGGGACCCTGCACCCGCGTGGGAGACCTGGAAGAAGTTCCTGGATCCTGGCTTTGGTTCGGCATAGCATCGGCCGTTGTGCTCACTTGGGGAGTGAATCATCGGATAGAAGATCTTCCTCTCTGTCTCTCCTCTCTGTATATCCGCCTTTCCAATAAATAATGAAATAAATCTTAAAAAAAACAAATGGGTGGGAGCAAGGAAATGGGGAAGGAAGATTTAGCAGAGCAGTGAACTTGCCGTTGGTGATAACTATACCCAATGTGTGACAGCCTGGTTCAAGTCCTAGCTACTCTGCTTTTATCCAGCTTTCTGTTATTACACATCCTGGGAGGCAATAGAGGATGGCTTAAATACTTGGTTCTCTACCATCTACATGGAAGACTCAGATGAAATGATAGCCTCTTGCCATGGGCCTGATCCAGTGCTGGCTGTTGTGGGCATCTGAGGAGTGAACCATCCCATATAGGCACTAGTTTGAGCCAGCTCCCTGCTAATGCACCTGGGAAGGCAACAGAAGATGGGCCCAGTGCTTGGGTCCCTGCACCCACATGGGCAACCTGGAAGAAGCTCTGGGGTCTTGCTTCAGACCTCCCAGCTCTGTCCTTTGCAGCCCTTTGGGGCATGAACCAGTGGATAGAGGACCTGACTCTCCTTCCCTGTCACTCTGTAACTCTGCACTTCAAATAAATACATAACTCTTTTAAAAAATACATGAGGGCGCAGTGGTGCAAGTGGTTAAGATCCTCGCCTTGCACGCCCGGGATCCCATATGGGCGCCGGTTCTATCCCAGCAGCCCCGCTTCCCTTCCAGCTCCCTGCCTGTGGCCCAGGAGAGCAGTCGAGGATAGTATAGTATCGGCATAGTATCGGCCCGTTGCGCTCACTTGGGGAGTGAATCATTGGACAGAAGATCTTCCTCTCTGTCTCTCCTCTCTGTATATCCGCCTTTCCAATGAAAAAATAATAAAAATAAATCTTAAAAAAAATACACGAAAGCAAGAATTGGTATGTCCTCAAGAAGTTATTAGCAAAAACATTATCATAGATGGTGGGTTTTTTAAAAAAGATTTATTTATTTTTATTGGAAAGTCATCAGATACACAGAAAGGAGGAGAGACAGAGAGGAAGATCTTCTGTCTGCTGATTCACTCCCCAAGTGGCTGCAATGGCCGGAACTCAGCTGATCTGAAACCAGGAGCTTTTTCTGGGTCTCCCATGTGGGTGGGTGCAGGGTCCCAAGTTTGGGTCATGCTGTACTGCCTTTCCAGGCCACAAGCCCATATGGGATCCCAGCACATTCAAGGTAAGAACTTTAACCACTAGGCTACTGCACCAGGCCCCACCAGGTGGGTTTTTTTTTCTTAAGATTTATTTATTTTTATTGGAAAGGCAGATCTACAGAAAGAAGGAGAGACAGGAAGATCTTCCATCTACTGGTTCACTCCCAGAAAGGCCATATCAGCTGGAGCTGAGCAAGGATTTAGCCACTGAGCCATCACACTGGTACTCAATGTATCAAACCAACCAAATAAAGTCTTAGGTAGAACATTTTGAACAACACTGCTAGGCTGGCATGATAGATACTTATTTCTATTCAATAGAGAATATATTCTAGGGAGCAGTGATTTGGCTGACCAGATAAGGTACCTGCGTCCCACAGAGGAATGCGGGGGCTGCAGTCCTGCCTCCGGCTTCCTACCCAGGCAGACCTGGGAGGCACTGGTGACGGCTTAAGGAACTGAGTGCCTGTGTCCCACGTGGGCTTGCACTCCCAGGTCTTCTGCCCTGACCCAGCCCCGGCTGTGGCAGGCTTTTGGAAAATAAGCCACAAAATGGGAGTACTGTCTATCGCTTTCTCATTCTCTCTCTCTCTGTGCCTCATAAGTAAAAAATAATTTTTAAAATGTTTTGAAAAACTTTTTTTTAGCACACATAGACCATTTATAAAATATAAAAATATGCCCTGTTGGGCGGCAGCATTTGGGGAGTGAACCAGTGAATGGAAAATTTCCTCTCTGCAGCTCCTCCTCTCTCTCTGTAACTCTGCTTTTCAAATAGAAAAGTAAATTAATCTTTGAAAACAATTAAAATTAAAAAGAATTCACTCGTGCCAGGCCGTAAAGTTATCTTTACCAATGACTAAATGCAATTAAGATTGGAATCGATCACACATAAAAAAGGGAAAAATGTGTTTGGAAAATTTTTAAGTTTATTTGTTCTCTTTATTTATTTATCTGAAAGGAAGAACAAGAAAGAGGGATAGAGATTCATTCTCCAAGTACCTACAGCAGCCAGGGCTGGACCATACTGAAGCAAGGCACCTGGAGCTCCAGCCACGCGTCCCGTGTGGGCGGCAGGAGTCCCAGCACTTGGCCCTTCACAGCTGCCTCCCAGAGCGCACATCCCAAGTGACCGCCTGGCATTGCTGTGCCACAACATCCGTGCCTTGGACATTTCCAAAGGCTCGTTCATCAGAGTGTGAGTAAAAGAACGATTCATAGTAGCAATTATAAATATTTTGAAATAAGAATTTAGAAATGAAATGACAATATTATCTATCAAAACTTGCGATGCTTGGGAAGAAATATATAACAGTAGTGCTTCTGTTAGAAAACAATTCAGGCTCAAAATGAGTAGCTAAGAAGTTAGGAAAAAATGACAGAATAAACCTAAGAAAACAGAAGGAAGGACATGACAATAAAAGGGAGCAGAAGTTATAAGAATATTCATAACAAGGCAACAAAACTAAAAACTTACACTGAAGGGCTAAACTAACTGTTCTTGCAAAAGGAGAACATTTAACATTAAAAATTATGCAGGAAACATAGCTAAATGTGCTATAAGCTTGAACAGATAAGGATTATAACAACCTTATATCAGAAAATATGAGAACATAGGTAATATGAATAGATTCCTAGACAGTTCACAAAAAGTAGGTGAAAAAAGAAAGAGCCTGAAAACTGAAGGCATTAATCAGTACACTTGCCACCCAATAAGCCCCAGACCCAGCAGCATTCTGGGGAATTCTCTGAGTCAGTAGAAAAAGGAAGAACTGAATTGTGCTAGAATCACACAATGGAATGCCACATGGCACCAAAAATGAGCAAACTAAACTCCCTGCATCAACATGATTAAGTCTCAACATTCTTGGAGTGAAAGGAAGCAAAGAAAATTTCTAATAATATGATCCCATCTATAATAACACTCAAAATAGGCACTATGATAAACACGTAAAGATACGCAAATAGGTGTTAAAACCACAAAGAAAAGCAGGAGAATGATTACCGTAAGTTAGTGTTCACCTAGAATAAGGGATTCAGTCTGGGAAGGACATACAGAGGGGCTTCTGAGGTTCCAGAAATTTCTTAGGTGTTAACCTGAGTGTTGCATGCATACATTTTTGTTGTTATTCTCCACTTCTACTCCCAGGTACATAGACTGGAGAAATTATTGTACTTACAGTGATTTGTTGCATATTCTTTGTGTACATGATATCTTTTTTCTAAGAGTATTCATTTTTATGTTGGTAACAAGAATGAGGTAGATACATGTATGTGTACTGACATGGAGACAGTGTCCAAGGCATATGAATTGACAAGCATGTTGTAGAACTCAACATTGTAATCACATTTTTAATTAAAAATAATATAATCATTATAATGCAAATATTGATGTGTGCACAGAAAAAAATCTGAATAGTATTTACTAAAATGGGAATACTAGTTATTTCTGTGACAGTCTTCATTTCAAAATTACACATTTCTATGTAGTTTCAGTGTTTTTCAGTAAACTCAGTTACTTTTGCGGTTAGAAAAAATAACAAAGTCTATTTTTATATACATTAAAAAAATGGTTTAAAATAGAAGAATACTTATTCTGGAAATAGAGACTTACTCTGCCTTTTACAAACAGAAGGGGTTCCCTGATGACCTCCAGATTCTGTCAGAGAATGTATGAGGGCAGAAAGTTCAGCTGGGAAGAGCTGAGGTCCCTCCAACCGAGGCAGGGTGGCAGGGCCCGTCAGTCCCTCTCACTCAGCACCCTGCCCGCTCGCTGGTTCCCTGCCACTCTCCACCCTGGCTTTGGAGGAAACCGAAGGGTTGGCCAGCTGTTCTTTTGTCCTGCCCTATTGTTCCAGGCCTGAGCATTGGGCAGTTAAACTGAAGGCCAACAGCATCCTGGGTTTGTGAGTAGACACCTGTAAACTAAGGGAAGACATGGTGAGGCCAGAGCAAAGGAATACAGAAAGCCACAAATTCTAGTGCCGTGCCAGCCAGTGGATTGCTTTTGCTCCTTCTAGCAGCTCCGATTTCCTACTGCACGTGTTGGAAAGAGAGGGGATGGCTCTTGAGATTAGAGCGGCGTGAGAGGAAGGTATTATATAGACCAAAACAAATTTCAGTTTATTAAGGGCAGGTAGCTCCAGAGTTTTGTGCGTGCTGTAGTCTCTGCCTACATTTTCCCTCCCTTGTTGTCCCGGCTAGCTTCTACTCCTTCTCCATCTTTTCAGTTTTGAACCATTTAAAAACTTTTCTCAATTCCCATCTTTACTACTCCAAGAAAAGGTTCAAGGATTCTCTTCTTCCACGACCTGTGACTTCCTCTGCCCTTATCTGGCTGTCATTACTGTCTTGCTCTCCCGTTGAGGTTTAAGCTTCTGAGGGTTGGGATTTACGATTGTCTTGCTCACCACGTCTCAGTCTCCAAGATAACTCCACGATAAGTATGTTTGTTATACCTCAGAAGATGTTACATGGATGAGTAGTGAAGGAATGACAAGGAGGACAAATCATTAGGGGATCCTTCCATAATGTGGTTCTTAGCAGCCTAAGGGTGAAGCCATCTATCTGGGCAAGGGAAAGGAGCGCCAGGCCATCCTCCCTGTTTCATCATCGCGCCTCTTTCTTCTGCTCCCCCAGCACCACCACTACCTGTTTGGCGTATGAGCTTGTGCTCCCTCTACCGGCCAGGCTTGAGAACCGCAGGGAGCCAAGGCCACGTGCTCTTGGCCTTTTGAGGAGACCTAGCAGTTCCCTAACTCCAGGGTTGGCCAAGGATTGATTATGAAGAAAAAACAGGGCTGGTCAGGACACTGGAGGCTTCTAAGGCCTAAGCCTGCACCCCGATCCTCCACAACTGGAACTCCCCATGTTTCCTTACCTCATGTTTGGCTTCCAGGGGTCTTCACTCCCAGATTCCTGCTCCAGCTAATTGACAGAGATGTTGATTTCTGGAACCTTTGGCTGGTACATTAGTTCTGACTGTGGAAACAAAGATCCCAAGGTGGGATGGGAATAGATAGGTACAAAAAGACACACGTAGAGGAAGGACCAGGGATGGGTTTGAAACCCCCAGCAGGACAAAACAGAGATCAAGGCTGTGGAAGGAAGAGTCCCCTCACCCTTTAGTCTGTCTGTGCCAGCACAGAGCTACAGCAGTGACTGTGCTGATCAGATCTTGGGCTTCAGGGAGATATTAGACTTCGGGGACAGCTTCTGCCCAACAGTGCTCTTTCCACCCCGTCCTATCCCCCCCCACAGGGACCCAGCCAAGAACTCACATCTTCGCTGTCACTCCCGCTGAATGATGGCCCCGGTTCCAGCCCCTTCTCAAGTTTATTCCCCTCCCCGTCTGGCATCAGCTCATCCAGCCAGAGGAGTTCCTGTGGTGAGAAGATCCACTCCAGTGCCTTTCGGACTCCCACCAGACCCAGCAACTGCAGGAACAGCCACATAGCCCAGAGCCATCAATGGCCACAGCGAGAACCTCAGCAACAGTAATATAATAGTCAGCAAGTACTTCCTGTGTGCTGGGCATGATGGGTATTTCACTAAGGCTAACACATTCCTATGAGGTAGATGAAACGATTATTTCCATTGCACAGAGAAGGAAACTGATAGCCCTAAGTGCTCAGTAACTTGGGATATGAGAGCCAGAATGGTCGTGCTGCAAAGCTTATAGCTCTTAACTGCCTCAGTGAATAAGAAAAAGACAAGCCACCTGTTTTATCACCTCACTGAGTTAAAAAATGGCAGAACTGCCTCTCTCCCAGGACTTGGTTTTGTTCTGGGTTTTATATTCCTACTTATGATTCATCAGCCCGAGGAGGTTGGGAAAGGAGGCAATCCTTTGGAGGAGCCCTTCTGTTGGTTTCTGTCTTTTTTCATCTTAGGATTTCCAAACAAGCAGAGCCAGGGCAAATAAGAGGGAGAGTCTCCCATGTCACCTCCCAAACTCAGAATCTTTCAGGAATCCCCACCACCACCACCACAGGACAACCTGCCCCCAAGTGACCATGAGGGGGAAGATGATGGCTGCTGGGGTGGACTTGATTATCCAGAGTAGACCCAGGCAGGACAGCTGGATGGCTGTGAAGAGGTGGACCCTGCTCAGAGGCACGTGCCGCAAGAGCAGCAGGTCCGGCTGGTGCTTTGGTGGCATCAACATTAGCTGCACTCGCTTCACGAACTAGGGGAACAAGAGGAAGAGGAAGGAGGGGCTCAGGGAGCCTGGAGTGTGTCGCTGCTGGCTACCCAACCCAGCATGGGAACGCAGGGCAGAGCAGAGGGCTCTGAGGCCTCTTTCCCGGCCCAGGAACTGTGTCTGATGGGGGGGGAGGGGAGGGGAAAAGAGGAGGGCAGGAGAGGAATTGGCAAATGTAGGCAGGAGGTATTGGCCGGCTGCAGAGAGGGGAATGGGGCTGCAGGTGGGCTCACCTGGATGCTGCTAAGTGCCGCCACCCCCATGTACAGGAAGATGCCGTAGAGCACAGGCATTGGGATGAACTGGAAGGAAGAAGTGGGATGCTGCGAAGGAATCCACCCCTACCAGCTGCCCAGAGGCTACACCTTGGATTCCAGCCACATCCTCTAGCACCTGGCATTGTTCCTGCCCAGGCCTTCCCCTTTTTCTCTCAGGTTATATGCCTGATCTCCTATCTGTCAGATGAGCTAAATTCTGTTGCTCCATTTTACAGATTGAGAGAGAGAATTTCTGAACAACTAAGTAACCTGCCCACTCCCTGGCCTACCTCTTCAGTCTTACCTGTTGCCTTCCCTTTGATCTTTAGGCTCTCTGTTCACTGGCTTCTGCTCCTTCCCTCCGCAAACAAGTCCACATCTCTCCCTGACCCTTGCAAAGCCTTTCTGCTTTGTTACTCTCCTCACCTCCCACGGCCTCCACCAGGTTTCCTGTGTCACTTCCCTTTTAGCACACATGCCACATCCCATGACACCCCAGAAAGGTCGTTGCTGACCCCAGGCACTCACATATGCCCTTTCCTATCTTAACAGAAGTTATCTTGTTTGCCTGATTTACATTTTCATTCACAGCCTACAGAGATGGAGACTTGATGTCTTTTGATCACCACCCCACTCCCCAGTGGCTGGAACTCTGCGTGACTTATGGCTTAGACTCAGCAAACACCTGCCAGATGAGAGTCACCCAGTTAGCAAGTGGCTGATCCGGTCCCTCTGGCTCTTTCTGCTACCCCACTCTCTCCCAGGCTCCATGACCTTTCCCTGCCCAGGCCACTTGCCGTCTGCTAGTGACTCTTGCCTGACATTCTCCACGCCCTCTTGACTGTTTGCTGTCCTGGCTTGTCGGACCTTTCTGCTATTGCTTAGGACTGAATTTTTGATTGTCTGTGTGCTTCAGGTAGGGGCTTGGTGCCATATTCCTTTTCAGTACTACTCATGCCCCCTGGCTTTTCCCTATCTTTTGCACGCGATAGACCCACGGTAAAGAGTTTCTGGGCTATTCTGTTTGTGCTTGTGGGTTTACTGGGACAGTGCTTGGCCCCCGGGGGATGGTGGTGACATGTCGACATCCTGCTCTGCTGGATGGGAAGCTCACCGGCTAAGAAGTTGGATTCACAGATCTCAGAAGCTGGCTGTCTTGGTGCAGTCTTGTGAGCTACTTCACCTCCTCGTCAGGTTAATTTGAGGGTTAAATAAGGCCAAGTGTAGAAGAGACCTAACACAGTGTATGACCTCCAGTAAGTGTGCAGCTCTAAGCGCTCACAGTCAGCATGTCCGTTCTCACTATACCTGTTACCGTAACTTCAGACCTTGACCCTGACCCATAACAGTGGTACCTTGAGCACAGGTGCCAGGAAGACGGAGACTCCTGTGAGGATGAACACCACCAGGCCTGTCAGCCTCTGCTCCCTGTGGAGAGAAGGAGGAGCTCTCGTGGGGTCTGCGAGAGTCCCCACAGCCTGCAGATGGGGGAGACCCTGGCAGCCAGGAAGCTAGTGGGACTCCTCGGTAGGCAGGAAGGGAATCTTCACAAGTAGGGGTGAAGAGGCAGAGAACCCCAAGCCTCTCCACCATGATGGCCCCAGCCTCCAGCAGTTCAAATTCAGAGTGGTTGCTTTCATTTTTGTGGAAAATAGGTATTTTAAATGTCCTAAAGACAGACATTTCTCAACTTACAAGGCTGATTTCATATACTTTAGACAGATTATGTTTTCAAGTTACAGAATTGTTGTTGGAATAAATTCCTTTGTAACTTCAACCATGTGCTTCTGCCTTGGATGGGGATTAATAGGGTGTCCCTCACCCTCTGCTTGAGCCCTGGTTGCCTCTACCTTTATATCTTGAGGTGCCTCCCAGTCCCCTGTGCTGCAGGAGGAGGCCCCCACGTGGGAGATCTCACTTCAGAGGCTAGAACTCACTCACTCCCCAGCTGCAGGGCTCAAGCAGGGTACCAGTCCAGCTGCCCAGATAACTCTGCCATGTGCTTCTACCACCCCACCTTGCCGCCCACCTCTCACTCCAGCCTCACCTTATGCCTAGAAAGCTGGGGGGCTCCCCGGGGGCACAGGCTCTGCTTTCCCTCCGAAGACTGTCCATGTGGGCCAGGGAGATGACGGTGGCAGAGACATACCATGGCAGGCCGAGCACCGAGGTGAGCAGCACCAGCACAGCCACACAGAAGAGGTCTAAGTGGAAGCCAGCTCCCTTCTGCAAGAAGTGAGGGGAATGATGAGGATGGAGCCAATCCATGTGTGGGTCCTTCATCCTTGGTGGGACGGGCTGCAGAGAGGACCAGAATTTTCCTCCACACACACCGCCCCTGGAGCTTCTTTCCCTCAGTCTAAGTCCTTGCTCCCTGGATCTCACCTGCAGTCTGTATTCCCCGCGGTTGAGGATGACTGCTGTGATCTGCTGGTCCATGAAGATAAGGATGGACAGCAACAGAGCCGGCAAGGCAGCTGCCACACTCAGCCACCAGGGGTTGGCTCCAAAAGGGGACACCAGCCAATCACGACCAGGGAGTGTGGGCTGGAGGAGGACAGAGACAGGTCGGAGAGGATCTCTCAAAAATATATCTGCCCACCCCAATTTCCACACCTGACCCCCCCCCACCCAACCCACTGGATGCTAAGTACGGGGAGCGTCTGCACGTGTCCACACGCATTCAAGTGCATAGTTAGTTTGGAGCAACTTAATGCCTTCAGAGAGGGCAGAGGAAGGAAGCAAGCCTTAGGGTTGGGGTCCCACTCTGGAAGAGGAGGCGGTGGCAGATGAGGCCCATACATTTTGTTATACAGGATCCTACTCGCCAGGCACCCCCTCCGTTCAGGGTGGGGCAGCTCAGGCTCAGACCTGCCTTGATCTGGGGCAGGGGCAGGGCTGGGTGTGTCTGCGTCTTCCCTGATTATAAGCGTCGAGGTGGAGGAGGGAGCCCTAGTTGCTGCTTCAGGTTCTGAGTCCCCAAGGCTACCCAGTGGAGCTTCCCTCCATCCCCCTCTCATTCCCGTGAAAGGCTGGAGGTCTCCACTTTGACAGTCTGGAAGTCAGCTAGGTCTTGCCTTACACAATCATGGCCTGGGGAGGGAGCTCCAGGTTATGGAATCAGAGCAGGCAGTGAGGGGAACAGAGAGCGGGGAGCAATGGGAAAAGTAGAGCCAGCTTGTAGCATTAGCTAATATCTATGGAGGAGATATCACACTGGGTTCTTTTATAAAACCCAAATAAGAACCTGTGGGATAGGAGCTACTGCTACTTCTTGCGCCCTCTTACAGATGAAGAAGTTGGGGCTCAGAGAGCTACATTACCTTGGCTGTGGCACACCTAGGAAGCAGCAGATCTGTAACTCAAAACCAGGGCTGGCTGAAAAGAACTATGCCCAAACCCCTGCCCTCTCTATAATAACAGCCATGGAGTGGAATATTCTGTACTTACTCTGTGCCAATGCCTCATGCAATCCTCACCATGCCTCAGAGCCCATTATTAGTCTCTTTCTGTTTTATAAGGGAGGAAAGCAGCTTGGGGGAGTAGAAGTGTGGGATTTATGAGTCTGCCTCCTCTGCATGTCTGCTGGCCCTGGTGTCCCTGCCGCTCTCTGCCCTCAACCTGTTTCTCCTACACTTGATCTTAGCCAAAAGGCTGAGAAGTGATAGTCATCCTCTCTTACCTTGAATTCTTCAGGCACTGTGAGCTTTGGTGTAGCTAGGCCCAGGAAGGCATCAAGACCACAGCCCAGCAGGATGGCCAGGATTGAGGAGAAGTCGCTGAGCACCTTGCGTACCTGGCCACGCAGATGATGCTCAGCCAGGCTCAGGCCTGCCCCTCCCCTCCTACCATACCCTCTCCCTTTTTCAGACAGGGTTCAAGTCCAGGACCAGGCCTCTCCCCCAGGAAGAAAGGTGACACTCACCACAGAGGGGAAGAAGCGGCTGTTCTTTACATGTTTGAGGGCAGTGGCACAGAGGAAGGAGGTGAGGAAGAGCAGAAGGGAAAAAAAGGTGATGTCTGGGACTGTATGGCAGCCGGGGCCCCGAGGGTGACCTCCCTGCTGGACACACTTGTGTGGGGGCAGCAGGGACACGTTGACCATGCCTAGGTCCTGTATGGAGGGTGGTCAAGGATGTGTGATGAGCGGGTCTACTCTCCTGGATCCACCTTAAGGGAAGGGGGACCCACAGGGACATGAAAGGCCCAAAATGCAAGGTCTCTCGCAGTAGGAACTGCCCACTGACTGCTTTTACCTCTACCCTTTCTCGTTCCTTCCCCATCCTACCTCCCCCCCCATACACATAAAACAGGCTCTTACCAGGCTCAGGATGTCATCTCTATCTTCTGGCCTTGATTTTGTCCATTGCGACTCATTTCCTGGGAAACAGGGAAGAATGTGTGTGTGTGTGTGTGTGTGTGTGTGTGTGTGTGTGTGTGTGTGTGTGTGTGTGTGTGTTTCCTCCTGGGAACCTCCTCCAATCCCACAGGATTCTAATCTGGTAAATCCAGCAAAACCAGGCAGTTCCAAGTTCTGATTCACCTGTCAGCTGACTCCATGGCCACCAACTGCATCCTCTTTCCATGCTGTTGACCTCCTGCCCTCTGCCCCCTCAAACTCTCTGCCTGTCTGTTTCCCCAAGCACAGGTCCTGGCCACAGCAGCTGCTGAGCAAACGTTGGCTGTGTGTTCAGGCCTGGCAGAGTCCAGTACACACTGGAGGCTGCTTCCTCTCCAGGCCTGCTTGTCTTCTGTGTGCAGTGTGATCCTCCAAGCCTCGCTCTACACAGCCAGTCACTCACCTAGCGGAGGAGCAGTGATCTGTTTGATTGTGGAGATGGGGAGATGAGGCTGGGTGGGCATGGCTGACCCTACTCTTTCCCCTCCTCTCTCTGGGGAGGAAGCTGCCAGCTTGGTGCATATATTTAGCTCTGCCCCTCTGTGGAAAGAATATCCTGTGCAGTGCTGCCATGAGTGAACACATGCCTCTCTCTGATTTTGGCTTTTTTTTTTTTTTAAGATTTATTATTTTTTTAAATTTCCAAAGTCAGATATACAGAAAGGAGAAGAGACAGAGAGGAAGCTCTTCCATCTGTTGATTCATTCCCCAAGCAGCTGCAACAGCAAGAGCTGCCCTGATCCAAAGCCAGAAGCCCAGAGCCCCTTCCAGGTCTCCCACTCAGGTACAGGGTCCCAAGGCTTTGGGCCGTCCTTGACTGCTTTCCCAGGCCACTAGCTGGGAGTTAGATAGGAAGCAGAGCTGCCGGAATTAAAACCAGTGCCCACATGGGATCCCAGCACATGCAAGGCAAGGAGTTTAGCCACAAGGCTACCGGGCCAGGCCCTGGTTTCATCTTTAGAAGCCTTTTCACCTCTAGGCCAAACTCATGTTCTTCTTTCAGTGTTGTCAGAAATAAACACGATCTTGGACCTTTAATGGCCTCAGTTCCCAGATTGAAAACCTGAGCAGGCAAGAGCTCTGCTGATTGTTTGAGTGAGGAATCAGCATTTCATTAGACCTGACAAGCGGGACAGTCAGGAGACACACAGCTCTTGCCCCACTCCTGCACCCTGCCTCACCCGGCCATCCCTGTCTCCCTCACCTACCTCCTGGGCCCGGGCCTGGGTACTGACAGAGGCAGCCATAGGCAGCAGACCCAGGCCTTTGGATGGGATAGGTCTGGGCCAAGTTCAGCATTTTGCCCACAGCATCGTAGATGAAGATGAGGCTGATGAGGGCACAGAAGCCTTCCTCGGTGAAGCGGGTGAAGTAACGCACCAGCACGCTGGCCTCTGTGGCTACCAGCACGAGGCAGAAGGTGGCCACCCAGATGCCCACCCATAGACGGAAGGGCAGGTAGTCCAGGCCATAATCTCTGTTGGGGTGAGAGACAGGAGGGCTCTGCAGGGCTGTCTGCGTCACACCTAAAGGGCCCCTGAAGCCAAGCAGACCTCTTCTCTTGTCCCAGCCTGGGCTAGGCTAAGACGTGGCTAGTGCAGGCCAGCAGGGGGGTAAGATGAGGTGGGTGAGGATGGGAGGGCAGGAGGAGAATGTGGGGAGAGTGGTTCTCTTACCTGCTGAAGGAGAAAAGCAGGCGCTCAAAGACCAGCACTGGGCCAGTGCTGCTGAGGATGGTCAGAGGCTGGCCTGCTAGGAGGCAGAAGGCTGCCCCAGCCACCGCTGTGCCCAGGAAGCTCTCCAGCACACCCTGGAAACCAGCAGGGACTTAACACAAGAGCCCAAACTTCCAGGAGCCTCCCCCACAGCCCCAGGAGACTCCACAGTTCACACTTGCTCCCCAGCCACCATCACCACCACCCCACCCCACCCCGTGCAACCCACCTGAGCACCTTCGGTGGCATCTCCCAGGAGACCTCCGAAGGTGATGGCGTTAGTGAGAGTGGCCAGATAAATGTAAAGCACAGCCGAGATGCACTGGGGGTTCAGGGCATCCGAGAAATCGCTGGGGTACCACGAGGCTTTCCGGCGCACGTCCTGGACAAGGCCCCCAAACAGCCTCCCGCCAGAAGGTCATCAGTGATCCCAGTCTCCCCACCCCACACACACCCGGCACCCACATCCCTTCTCCAGCCCAGCTCCTGAGTCCATCCGGCTCGCCTCACCTGCCAGTTCTCTGCAACTCCGGGCTGGGCGCCAGCGGCCCGTGTTGGTGCCTATCCTTTGTGCCTGTCCCGCGCAGGACAGAGCAGCCCTTGACTTTCCGCAGGTGCGAAGAAGGCCTATGGAGAGGGGAGATGCCCCAGTTGGTGAAGGCTCTTCTTTCTAACCCTGGGTCTCCCCGCCCGAAGCTCGTGACACCCTGCCCCCTGGCGGCCGCTCGCGGCTCTGACCGTGGGAGCGTGGCGTCAAGGTCACGCAGAGCTCTTGCAGAAGGAAGGTGTTTCCATCCCAAAACGAGAGTGAGGAAGTTTATTTTGGTCTGCCTGATTTCCAGGATAGATAGATCCCTATGTTTCCTGGGACCCCGCCATCTCCTCAACAGTGGCGCTGAGCCAGGGGCGGTGGAAAAGGGTCTCTGTATGGGATGGTAGGCGCCAGGTACCTTTTGTGCTGAGGGGGCAGACACTTGGGTGGCAGAATCCGCGCTGTCGGGTCCCACCGGCCTGGGGGCAGCACAGTCACCTCCTCCAGGAAGGCATCCAGGGCTGCGAGAAGGTCATGAAGGTTGCTGGCCCGACGAACCGACCATTGGAATTGCTGGGTTTTAAGGACACAAAATGGGTGGTTACATGCTTTTTTTTTTTTCACACCGTGTGTGCTTCAAATCTAAAGACACGTGAGTAGGCAAGCCTTTGCACACACTCATGCATATATGTACATCTGCTTATTCATTTCATGAGTATCCACTGAGTTCGCCCACATCGGGTCAGTCACGGGCTGCCCTGGTGGCCGAGGGAATCACAGTCCCCAGGCTGTGGACACAAAGCCACAGGGCCTCGCCTCAGAGTCCTGGTGCGTGCAGGCGTGCCCATGGTGCTCACCTGGTTGCTGAGGAGGACAGCTGCAGCCCGACCCATCTCACCATAGACCTTTCCCAGCGTGGGGGGACCCAGCAGGAGGCAAAAAAACCTTGGGAGGGAAGAGTGGGGCCCCCAGGCAGGCTCAGAGGTTGCTTCCCCATAGGCCAGACCTGTGCCCTCCAACACTCAGCTCTGGCCTCCAGCCCTATCCCTACTGAGACCCCCAACCTCCCAGGCACCAGCCTCAACACAGCCTCAAGGAACTGCTCCAATGTCCTCACCTGCTTGGGAGGGGCACCTCCATGAGGGACCCCAGCAGCACCGGGTCGCGGAGGCGCACAAAGGCCCCCAGTGGCTGTGCCAAGGAGCCCAGCTCTCCTGCCAGCACAGCCGCTGCCTCTGTGCCTGGAGGCAGCTTCCGTCTCAGCGGGTTCTGACGCTGGGATGGGGGTTCAAGGAGAGAAAGGGTGTGAGAGGGAATGTTGGCAGGGTCTCCACTGACAGGGGCTGCGGTCCTCCGCCCCTAAACCCTCCCCCAGCCCTTGCCCAAACCTGTTCTTTCAGGGGGGCTTCCTTGTCCGGAGGAGCCTTGCTCGGCCGGGAAGAGCCTAGGAAGACAGGACAGTGCTATGGGGGAGGCCATGGATCCAGCACAGCGCCCCCACCCCGGCCCTGCCCTCGCCAGCCTCTCCATGGACAGACTGTGGGAAGTGAGGCACAGCTTCCCCTCTCTGAGCCTCAGTTTTGTCACTAAAATAGAAGTAATCAAGTAAGTTAATGAGTTTAACACTACCCAGAACTCTGGCTATTAGGATTCTGCCCCACTCCCTGTCTCTTTCTTTCCTTCTTCCTCATTACCAGCCATACTGAACCAAGCCTAGGTGACTCTTGGCCCAGGAAGGTACAGAGAAGAAACAAGGAGGGGGTGAGGGGGCAAGGGGGTGAGGGGGTAAGGGGCAAGGGGAGCCCACCCACCCAGAGAGGGGCCTTACCCCAGCATGGCCCGGAACCTGGGGTCTGGACATGATGCTGGGGCTTTTGCAGGAGCAAAGCCTGCAGCTGCCCCCTCAGCTCTGGGCTCAGCGACTCCACCCTGGTCACTTGCTCTGGAGAAGAAGATGCAGAACTTGAACTCCTTGCTGAGAGCGCCCTGTTCCATGCTCAGCCCATCCCAACCCCTTTGCCTTCTGGGAGTTTCAGGGAATGCAGGGACCAAGAATGTTTCACTCTGCTTTTCCACTTCCAGCCCATGACAAGGGTGGACAGCCATTGGGGTAGATGGGTTATGGGAGATTCCGAGAGATGTGACTCTGGGTGACACAGTATGGTGAGCCAGACCTTTCCTGCAAAGGCTCCAAGCTTACCCACAAGCTCCAGGAGGTTCTGAGCTGGACAGTCCAGCAGGACAAGGCCCTCGGCCAGCAGGCTTCGAAGTTTCCAGAGGCTTGGCAGTGCTAGTGTGGGCACATGGGGGGCACTCCAACGGCTGGCACCCCCCTCTAGCTTCTCCTCAAACAGCACCCACCTGGGGTAGAGTGGGGTGGGCAGTGTTACCAGGGGCATCTCTCTCACATCCATGAAGTGCCAGGATACAAGGGAGCCAGGGAACACTGAGCGGGGAAGGTAGGGCCCACTGGTCGAGTCGGTATACCCCTGCCCGAGCACATGCCCAGAGCACTGCTCTTGGGGGACTTAAAACTAGACAGTATAGGAGACCATGCATCATGGAGAGTGAGGCCTGGAAATAAGGGGATCCAGAGAGAAATGTTCTGATTTGCGGTGGGAAGGAATCTGCCCTTCCCTTCCAGGAGGAGCAGGGTCATGGAAGAGGTCCCAGTTTGAGAGGGGAAGGACCCTGTAGAGCTGCCGCAGCGTCTCACTCACCTGCCAGTCTCTCTCCACTCCAGTGTCTGGGGCCAGCCCAGCAGCTCGTTCAGCTGGATGAAGAGTGGAAGGTCCTTGGGTACCCCCAGGTCCCTGCTGCCTGTGTTCAAGGGATCTGAGGGACTGGGGTCGGAGCCAGGGTCACCGTCCGGCTGCCCGACAGGAACATCATCACAAGCATGGGAGGCTTCCAGCTCCTCCTGTCCTGACAGCTTCATGCTGGGACCTGTGCAGTTGTGAGGGCCCTCTGGCTGGTCTGGATTTATAACATACCCCACCCACACCCCCACCGCCCAGCACAGCAAAACACAAACGTAACAATACCTGCTGACTCCAGATCCTGCTGGGTCATGGCTCCCCCACCTGCTCCCCTCTTCTGCTGGCCTGAGAATGAACTTTGTCAGCCTCCCCAGAAATGCCCAACCTGGGGGCAAAGTGTGTATGTGTGTCCATTTCCTGAGGGATCGGGTTTGACCTTGCTGTGTTTTGAGTAAATAAACGGGAGTAGATGGCTGGCCTGGGTCTGAGAGCTGGCACCGCACCCCTCCAGATTATTGCTGCCCCAGGCGTGTATCACATGCAAACACCCAACACCCAGCAGTGTTTCGGGTGTCACCAATACATGCTGGCAGTCACAGACATGTCTACTTGGACAAACAAGGACCTAATACAGTAAATAGCTGAGTCTAAGGGAGCCAGTCAGGGTAAGGGAGACAGCAGGGAGGGGCCCTGCTCATGGAATGGGATAAGGATGGAAAAGCAGGCGGTTTTAGGGAGGGCATCAAGCTCGAGTCTTCAATTCTTTGGTCCCACATATTCTAGAAACTCCCCCAGTTTAGCTGGCTCCCTGGAAAAAAAAATGATGCATGGATGTGTGCGTGCTTGTGCTCACACACGTGCAGGACTGTCTAGAGCTAAATGAGCAAAGGAGAATGTGCTTCCTTAACAAGGTCAAATTCTGTTGGTTCTACCCTCGACACAGACCTGGAACCCAATCTCATTTGCCCACCTCGCAGCCGCCATCCTGTTTTACCTGAAATGCTTCAACAATCTTGTTTGGTGAAATAATCTCTCTGCTTCTACTCCTCCTCCCCTGCTTGTTTAACTCCAGCCTCCACACAGCAGCCATGGGGGCACAGGGGTCTTCATCTTTTTTTGAAGGTCAGAGTTATAGACAGAAGGAGAAGCAAAGATCTTCTATCTGCTAGTTCACTCCCCAGATGGCTGCAAGAGCCAGAGCTGGGCTGGTCCACAGGACCAGAGAGCCAGATCAGAAATGGAGCAACTAACTTCCGATCTGGCTCCCTGCTTATGGCCTGGGAAAGCAAAGAATGACTTAAGTTCTTGAGCCCCTATATCTATGTGGGAGACCCAGAAGCAGCTCCTGGCTCCTGGCTTCAGATCAGCTCAGCTCTGGCTGTTGCAGCCATTTGGGGAGTGAACCAGGAAATGGAAGATCTTTCTATCTCTCCTCTCTGTAGATCTGCCTTTCAGATAAAATTTTAAAAACAAACAAACAAATAAATAAATAAATAAGTGGAGCAGCCAGGACTCAAACCTGCATTATAGAGGACCTTTTAAAAAGCAGTTGTGGGTCAGGCCTTTGGCACAGTGAAGTCCCCACTCTGGACACTTGCATCCTTTATTAGTCTAGCCTAGAGCTCTGACTCCACTTCCGATTCAGCTTCCTGGAGTGACTCAAGTGACGAGGTGATGACTCAAGTTCTTGAATCCCGGCCACCCATGCAGGGGAACTGGGTTGGAGCTCTGGCTTATGGCTGTCACCTGGCCCGGCCCTGACTGTTACAGGCCTTTGAGTAATGACCCGGCAGGTGGAAAATTTCCCTGTCACTCTCTGCCTTTCAAATAAAATGAAAACTTAAAAGAAGGCAATTGAGCCACATTAGTTTTCTGCTCAAAACTCACCTACTGCCTTCCATTTGACCTGAGATCGAACTGATTGCCATGGCCTACAAGAGCCATAGCTCTTTTATGGAAAAGGCAGATTTATATAGAGAAGGAGATACAGAAAGATCATCCACTGGTTCACTCCTCAAGTGGCTGCAATGGCTGGAGCTGAGCCAATCTGAAGCCAGCTTCCAGGTCTCTCACATGGCTGCAGGGTCACAAGGCCTTGGGCCATCCTTGACTGTCTTCCCAGGCCACAAGCAGGGAGCTGGAAGGGAAGTGGAGCAGCTGGGACACAAACCGGCTCCCATATAGGATCCATCATGCCAGGCCTGTAACCCATTCTCCTTTGACCTATGTCAAATGTTTTTCCTTTACTCAGGTCTGTCCCAGGTACACATCTGCCTTCATCTGCCCGGCAAGGGCTGAGCCGGCCAGTGGTCTCTGCAGCAGCCATTCTTTCTGCAAGGAAGCAGTTTGTTCCCCTGATCCTCACATGACTGGATCCCTGTCACCCACATCTAGCCTGCCCTTTTCCGCCTTATGTTTTCCTCCTAAGTCTCTCCCGGTCACAAGTCTGTTTGACTTTCTTTTTGTCATTTATCACCAAGAGCAACTGTGTCATCTGTTTATTTGTTTATAATTTGTTATCTGCCCCCTTCACACACACCCACACTGGGACGTTCCTCTCGGTCCATGGAACAGGTATCTTATCTCTGTTGGCCTGGAACTACTCCTGGCACGCAGTGACTCTCATTCAATAAATACTTGTTCCATGAGCGCATACATAGAACCTGGGAAAGTGGCTACACTTTTCTGGGACGGCCACACGGTGGCGCTGCCTTCCACGCCCGGATCACTAGAGCCGCTCCCTCAGAGCATGGCGGCGGCAAGGTGGCGAGATGGCGAGGATGTTACTCCCCAGGACCGGACAGCAGGGATGGAGAGGGGGACAGGGTGTGCGTGTGGAAGCACAGCAGAATGGGGAAGGGAGGATCCGTCAGACTCGTCTGAATGTGAGTCAACTCCCGCACTCTCCCCATTATCCCCTCCCACATACACACAAACCCTGGGTACCTGGGACCACCACCTGTCTATCCACCTGAGAAATGGGTGGATCCCAGGCCAGCCCTCCCCACCAGGACTGACGCAGGTAGGTGCCAGGACGAGAAATGCAGGATCCAGTCACTTTATTACCGGTTGCAGAGGGCACTGAGGCTGAGGGGGATGTTAGTTTCCCTCCCAGGAGGAACAGAAACTGGCCCCAGGCTTCAAAAGAGCCCAGGAATCCTGGTGACCACCTCTGTCAAGAATGTGCTCCAATCTTAGGGAGAGGTGTCTCAGGGACGCCACAGGAATACCCCTCCCCGCCCCCTACAGGCCTGTTCACCTGCCCTCTTTGTGACTCCCAGGGTTCCCATGTAGTCTCCTTCCCCAGAATCCAGGCTCACCTCTGGGCTGCAATGGCCTGAACTGGGCAAGGCGGGTGAGGATGTGAGCAGGAATCCCAGATTTGCCAGTTGGTGCAGTGCTGTGCCATTCCGAGCCAGGAGACATGCAGGCAAGCAGCCCTGAGTGTGGCCCCCCGCAACAACATCAACAACAACAAAAACAAAAACAGGCGTTGCAAGCCTGGTTCTCACCCTCTTTGGGTCACAGAACTTTTGGGAGTGCTGGAGCAAGGCCTGTCCCCTTTCCGAGTCCTTATTTTCCTGCACACAAACAGCCGGTGGAAGTCGGAGAATCCAAGGCTCACGGCACAATCTTTACACAGCATGGGGGAGCTGCACGGCTCCTGACAGGTGGGCAGGTGGACGGGTGGCCATGGCACTGGGACCAGGCTGGATTCACCGTAATGCACACACATACATTCCGTAATTCCTGGCTTGGGCCACTTTCCAGCCAGTGGAGAATAATCACTTTTCTTGTGAGCCAAGGAGAAACAATAGCAGTCCTCTTTTCGTAAGCTTTGTCCACTGAAGCCGTGGTGAAATAGCCTCCTGGCGCTTGGCAAACACACAGGCAGGAGAAGGCTACTGTTACAGTGAGGACAGTCACTTCAAAAAAGGGAAGGAAGAAACTGTACGGTGAAGGGCTGAGCACTGGGGCACAGCCAGTTAAGCCACCACTTAGAACACCCACTGCCCCTATGGTAACATCGGCTTCCAATCCACCATTACTGCTAAATGCACACCTTGGCAGGCATTGGGAGATGGCCCTAATACCAGGATCTCTGCCACCTACATGGGAGACCCAGGTTGAAGTTTTGGGTACCTGGCTGCAGCCTGACCCAGTCCTGGCTACTGTGTGTATTTTAGGAGTGAAGCAGCAGATGAAAGATCTCCCTCTCTCTGCCTTTCAAAATGAGTAAGTGTTTATTTAACAAGTTCATAGAAAAATGCATATTATGAAAAAATTATGCAGAGATGTCAGATATTTTACTCAGGGCCGGTGCGGTGGCCTAGCAGCCAAAGTCCTCGCCTTGAATGTGCCGGGATTCCATATCGGTGCTGGTTCTAATCCCGGCAGCCCTACTTCCCATCCAGCTCCCTGCTTGTGGCCTGGGAAAGCAGGCGACGACAGCCCAAAGCTTAGGGATCCTGCACCTGTGTGGGAGACCTGAAGGAAGCTCCAGGCTCCTAGCTTCAGATTGGCTCAGCTGCAGCTGTTGCAGTCACTTGGGGAGTGAATCAGCAGACAGAAGATCTTCCTCTCTGTCTCTCTTCCTCTCTGTATATCTGACTTTCCAATAAAAATAAATAAATCTTTTTTAAAAACCAAATATTTTGTACCAAAATGAACTTTTAATTCTGTTTTCCATGACTTCTTTTTTAAAATATATATATATATTTTTTCCTTTAAGGAAAAAAAAAAAGAATGAAAAACAGGGAGCTGGATGGCAAGTGGAGCAACTGGAACACAAAATGGTGCCCATATGGGATTCCAGCGCATGCAAGTTGAGGACTTAGCCAAGAATGTGATTAAAAAAAAAAAAACAGCAACATTATTTCAGTGTGTTAGTGTGAATGGATTGTAACTACTCTACAAATCTCAATGAAAGGAGGTACCTTAAATGTAATAGCCGTAATATGGGTCAGATAGGTTGTATTGGCACCTCATTCTAATTTCCTTTTCTTTTTAAAGGTTTATTTGAAAAGTAGAGTGGTAGAATGAGAGTAAAAAGAAAAAGAATATCTTGCATCACTGATTCACTGCCGAAACGACTGCAATAGCCAGGGTGGGCTAAGCTGAATCCAAGAGTCTGAGCTCCAGCTTGCTCTTCCCTGTGGGTGGCAGGGACCCAAATATTCAGGCCATCTTCTGTTTTCCCAGGCCCATTAGCAGAGAGCTGAACTGACACAGCGCTGGAACCCTAACCAGAACTCGTACAGGATGACAGCATCACAGGTAGTGGCTTAACCGGCACCACTATGCCGGCTCTCAACAGTAATTTCTTTCCTGAAAGCAAATCCATGCAAAATAATCTTTTCGTATTTTTTATACAAATTGAGGATCAGTCTTGACTCAAGTAACCAGTTAAATTTTTCATCAGTATAAGAGATGGGTTGGCAGGACACTCAAAGGTAGTGTGGAGTTTGAGGTGGGGGGATTCTTAGTATTAAGGTTAAGGGTCTGAGCTCCTTTTCTCCCAAATACCTGAGACTGATTCCACAATCTGTGGCCGGCAAAGCCTCTCCTGCAATTATCTAGAATGTCCCCCAGAGGGCAGTATCTCTTCATTTGCAAACCTTTGTCTTGGATCATCCTCAGGTATTAACAAAGGATAACTTTAAATAGCAACTCTGTGGCCATCTTTCTTTTTTCTTTCTTCCATTCTTTTTTCAGTTTTATGTACTTATTTGAAATTGAGAGTGACAAAGATCTTCTGTCCACTGGTTCTGCAAACGTCCACAACAGCCTTAGTTGGCCCAGGCCTAAGCCAGGAGCTCCAGCCAGCTCTCCCACATGTATAACAGGGTCCAAGCACTTGCGTCATTCTTTGCTTCTTTTCCCAAGTGCATTAACAAGCAGGGAGCCTCGATCAAAAGTGGAGCAGCTGGGACACGAACCAGCGCCCATTATGGAATGCTGTTGTCACAGGATTTTCCTGTTGCACCACCGTAGCAGCCCCAGTGACCACATTTCTAAAAGAATCAAATGTATGCCTTGCCTGGCAAAGAGTCTTACGTGACCACATTCCTGAATTAAGCACTGGAAAAGTTATTGAGAGTATTGACCAATGTATGTTGAATGTCTCACTTTGCCAAGATGATCTTTCTCCTCTGGCTGTCATAAGAACCCCCCGAGATACACTGGTGCTCTCCTGATTAGAGATGAAGCAGCCGAGGCAGACAGAAAGGTTATCTTGCAGTTCTGCCACTGTTGACTATCGTGGGATTTTCTCAGCCAGGCTTCTGAGAATAACATGACACGGACACTTCATGATGAATACAGAGCAGTTGTTTCAACCCATTCCCCAGCCCCACCCTCTGAGGTGTCTGAGTCTCAAAGAGGGAGCCAGGTTGCGTGATATAGGAGAAATCACCCTACTGGCAAAGAGCCACCTGTGTCGGGCTGATCGAGGTCGGGGACTGGGGTGTTCATCACTCAGAGTCACCAGAACGGGCCCAGAAATGGAGAGTGTTGGCTTGCCTCCGGTACGTTATAAATGTCCCTTCCTTTGCATCTCCTGGGAATTTCAGGGACCCCCCTAACACACCCGCCTCCAAAGCCTTCCCCTCCCTTGTCCATTCCCATTCTTCACTCTGTTCACTTGACTTCTGGCCCCACTCAGAGAGCCTACCCATCCTCAGGTACGCACAGAGCAGGAAGAGGAGCAAAGGTACTCCAATTGGCAGACCTGTGTCCTAGCTCAGCTGTGCTCCCCGGCAATCTTCCCTTGTCAGCTGCATCAGAAAGGGTGAAAGAAGCCAGCCTGGTACAAGAAGCAATGGCCCCTCATCCTAACCTTTCAGGTCTGTGTAGCCCTAGGCTCATGGCCAACTGAAGCTCCTTCCTGCACCCTCAGCCCCAGCCCAGCATCGCTTGGAGGCTGCTAATAACTCAGCTTCTTAGTTCAAGCGGAAGGAGAAAGCAGGTGAATTTTCTCATTTAAGAGCCATGTGATTCTTGGGCCCACACAGTAGCCTAGCGGCTAAAGTCCTTGCCTTGAACATGCCGGGATCCCATATCAGTGCTGGTTCTAATTCCAACAGCCTTGCTTCCCATCCAACTCCCTGCTTGTGGCCTGGGAAAGCAGTGGAGGACAGCCAAAAACCTTGGGACCCTGTGCCCATGTGGGAGACTCAGAAGAGCCTCCTGGTTCCTGGCTTCGAATCGGAGCATCTCTGACCATTGCAGTCACTTGGGGAGTGAATCATCAGACGAAGATCTTCCTTTCTGTATCTTCTCCTTCCTATATATCTGCCTTTCCAATAAAAATAAATAAATCTAAAAAAAAAAAAAAAGAGCCATGTGATTCTCTGAGTTCCTAGCCCAGGTTCCTTTCTAAAATTGAGATTTCTGGGGCCAGCATGATGGCTCAGTTGACTAATCCTCCACCTGTAAGCACTGGCATTCCGTATGAGTGCTGGTTAGTTTCCTGGCTGCTCCACTTCCTGACCCTATTTGTGGGCTGGGGAAACAGTAGAGGATGGCCTAAAGCCTTGGGATGCTGCACCTGCACAGGAGACCTAGAGGAGGCTCTGGTTCAACTCCAGCCATTACAGTCATTTGGGGAGTGAACCAGTGAATGGAAAAATCTCTCTCTTTGTATAAATCTGCCTTTCCAATAGAAATAAGTAAATCTTTAGAGTTGATATTTTTGAATTTTGGGTAGACTTGGGGACCATCTCCCAAGGCATTCTGAGGACAGCTTGCCCACTTCAGAGCAGCACTTTATTCAACTGTCTACTTGAAAAAAAAAAAAAGAAAGCAAGCATTTGCTCATTTATTAGATGACACTGAGTAAGCACCACATGCCAGGTAAATACACATGATCTGATATAACCTCTGCAAGAGTCCTACAAAGACAGTTACTCTTACTCTCCCATTTTTTCATGAGTTCTTGCAGAACTGAGCTGCTCCTTTGAATTTGCAATTCAATGTGAACAATATTTCATCCCAACATTTGGTCATCAAAAAGATTCCACCTGAATGTACAGTCTGTCCCTTGCTCAGTCGTTTTATCCTCCTCCTCAGAGCCATCAGTCACTGACTATTGTCATCTAATCCCAAAAAGAATGGTACCCTGGACCTATCATTCATTTTGTGAGTTGGCTGGCTGGAAGTGAGAGAGACAGAATAGCATGTATCAAGTTAGAAAGCTAAAGAATAACAGGACAGAAATTTGCACCAATCACTAGCTGCTGAATGCCTTCAGCTAATCCTTCATTCCAGGCTAGTGAGGCAGAGATTGTTACCACAGCACTCCTAGGACAGGTGGAAAATGGAAGTTCAGTAAAGCTGATGTTACTGTCCGTTGCTGTCTTATCTGTTACCTTGGGGGAGTTTGGAGCTTAAACCCAGAGAGGGATTCATTGGGATAGCTACCGGCTGGGTGACCTTGAGCTGTTACTCAACTCTTGGAGCTTCAGTCCTTCCCATGGGGATGATGAACACAGGAGGGTCCAGTCTGAGGGCCGCTGTGAGGATCAAGTGAGACACGCTCATGCAGTGCTGAGCACAAGCTGTCTTCCCTTCCCTTCCTCTGGATCAGAGGAATAGATTGTGTTCAGATGTCTGACATGCGGTCCTGACTGATTCAGAACCTTGCTGGTGTCGGAAACACCTGCCTAAAGTAGAAACACTCTAGCCCTGCCCCGGGAGATTTTTAAGACTGACTGATTGATTTGAAGGACAGTTACACACACACACACACACACACACACACACACACACACACACACACACAGAGCTTCTATCAGCTGCTCATGTCCCAAGATGATTGCATCAGATACAGGAGCCAGGAGTTTCTTCCTGGTCTTCTTTGTAGGTTCGGGGTCATCTGCTGCTGCTTTTCCAATGCAATAGCAGGGAGCTGGATTGTAAGTGGAGCAGCACAAACATGAATTGGCACCCATACGGGAAATCTGTGTTGCAGGTGGGAGCTTAACCCACTCCAGGAGATGTTTAATTTGAAAGACAAGAATTGAGCCTGTGCCTTTTTATTTTTTCATTTACTTATGTTTAATCCTTTTTGGAAAAGATTTATTTATTTTATTTGAAATGTAGAGTTATGGAGAGAAAGATCTTCCATCTACTGGTTCACTCCCCAGAGGGCCGCAACAGCCAGAGCTGAACTGATCTGAAGCCAGCAGCCAGAAGTTTTTACTGGGTCTCCCATGTGGGAACAGGGGTCCCAGGGACTTGAGCCATCCTCCACTGCTTCCCCAGACCATAAGCAGGGAGCTGGAAGGGAAGTGGATCAGCTGGGACAATCCAACATACACAAGAGATGCCAGTGCTGCAGGCAGGAGCTTAGCCTGCTATACCTCAGTACCAGCCCCTAGACTTTTTTGTTTTTAATAAATTCCCTGGTAATTCTGATGCACAGCCAGGTTGGGGAATACCAATATATTAGTGTAAATGTCTCAGCCACAATGGGCAAAGAAATTAGTTTTTTAAAAGATGTATTTATTTGAAAGAGCTACAGAGATAAAGACACCGATCATGCATCCAGTGGCTTACTCCTCAAATGGCCATGGTCAGGAACATCCAGGTCCTCCACATGGGTATCAGAGGCCCAAATACTTGGGGCATTTTTCTCTGCTTTCCTAGGCACATTAGCAGGGAGCTAGATCAGAAGTGGAGCATCTGGGACTGGTACCAGTGCCCATAGGAGATGCTGGAGCCAATTCTGCCCCTTTCTTGTCTCCACTAGCAGCCCATTCTCCAAGGTCCTTCCCATTGGCTTGCAAGTCTTGTCCCCAAATCAAGATGTCTGTGCCCTGATAATGATGCCTCAGTCACACTCAGCAGCCAGAGGAGCTTGCCTTTCTAGAAACCTGCACAGGCTGGGAAATACGATGCCAAGTTTTCTGCTTTGAATTTGTCCCCTGTGACTCTGTGAGTCAGTGAGTCTCCAAGCCTTACTGTGCCCATGATCCACGGAGCGGCTAGGACAGCCCATCCTTAGGGCCATGTCTCTTGTACTTGACCATGAGAGAGCAGGTAGGGAGGTTTGGAGGAGAGGAGAGGAGACAGTAGAAGAATCCTGCTTACGTGTGCTTTCCAAACGACATTACATTTGACGCCCACAATGACAGGGAATCAAACTCAGCATCTCCCTAAGGGGTCTCCTGTCCTTTCTTTCTGTCCCGAGCCTTTCTTTCATGCTGTGTCATCTGCTTGCTTTCAGGACCTTCTTATGAGTGCTTCTTATGAGCACTCCAAGCCTGCTGCCTCCTCAGTCTTTGCACCGTCTGCCCAGCTTGCAATCCTTCTGCCAAGCCTGGTTTCTTCTCCTTCCAGCTTCAACTTATACGTCATCTATCTGCTCATCAACCATCAAATGTGAAATGTCATCCCGGGCCCCAGGACATTCATCTTATTACACACATTTTATACTTCATCTTTCATCTTAGCACCTGCTGCCTTAGAGTTTCTTCTTTCTTGTTGATGTCCTTGATGTGTCTCCCCATCTCACAGAGTGCACACTCCAGGAAAGCAGGGTTCTCAACTGTCTTGCTTGTTGCTGCATCTCCTTCCCCCACCCCAAGCTTGAAAAATATTCAGCAAATGTTTGTGGAATGCATGAGGTATTGAGGCTGCTCCAGCTTGAACTGTGATGCTAAGAGGGGAAGTGACTGTCCCAAATCCAATTCAGGTTTTCCTTTTTTTTTTTTTTTTCCCCCTAAGCCCTTCTTGTAGAAACTGGTTGGCAGACAAACCTAGTTGTGGTGAGTCTCCCAGGTGTGATGAAAGCTTGGAGTTGCCCCATGAACTGGGCCGCAGCTGATGCGGGGGTGAGAAGGCGGAAGGACAATGCATGCAGGGAGAGGCAGGCTGCAACAGGAGAGCAGGGTGTGAACAGCGGGTGGGGACCACGGGGAGTGAATTGGCCCATGTGTCAGGAAGTGTTTCCCTCCACCCTCTCCTGGAGACAACCCTGACCCTTGGGTGGCTTTGTTTTTTGGGAAAGCGGGAGGTCAGACAGCTATGGGGGATGAACAAAGGTGTGGCCTGGGTGGTGACCATCCACAGAGGTCCTGGGGCACCGGCCATGATCAGCCAAAGAGTTAACCCAGCAATGGCTATGGACCAAATAGGTGACAGGTGAGTTTCTGTGGGAAACCAACCCAACCCAAACCAACCAGGACACTAAGACTTGGCCTAAGGGTAGGCAAGGGCTGCAGAGGGAGAGAAAGAAAAGAGGCCACTGATGAACTGAGTGGTCCCAGTCAAATGCTTAGTGTTAGCAACACATTTAAAGCTGATATCATGCCTAGCACCGCATAAACTCCTGCACATGTGCTCCTACAATCAATCCTCAAACAGGACACACACACACACACCCCAGCCATGCGGCACACCTACACAAATTAGAAGTTGTTGTGCCCACTTGAGAGATGTGGAAACTGAGGCTCAATGAGACCCAGTCTCTTATCCAAGGTCACAGAGAAAGCAGCAAATGTAGGATGCAAACTCCAGCCGGTAGTGACTCCAGCTCGCCACGGAAACCTAGGATTGCTGGGGCAAGTGCAGAGGGTAGAATCAGAGTGACCCATGGGAAGATGGGGGTGGGGAAGAGAGAGTGGGTTAGACTGCATATAAATAGCAGGCCTGTTTTTATCCCTACACTGGATTCAACCAGGCCACTGCTCCATCTGGCACACTCTGAGGGCTCTGAATGCCAACCCAGCCCTATGTCAAACAGCCTTCTCCCAGCCCGTCCGTGGGAGCTGAAATACCTACTGAGAGACTCACTTCTGTGGGGGGTCAGGGCACTGGTTCCAGAAAAGCCCTGCAAAATGTGTGTGTGTGTGTGTGTGTGTGTGTGTGTGTGTGTGTGTGTGTGTGTTTTGGGAAAGGAGATTTACAGAGAGAAGTGGGAGCCACTTTTTATGATGGGGAATTCGTGGGGGAAAAGTGTGAAGCTGGCTTCACAAACCTGCTGGCGTGGCCTGGGGTACAAGTGAGGGGAAGCCACTCCAGCTCTGGGAGAATCTTAACTTCCTTGGTTTCCATACCAAGTACCTGCAACTCTCTTCCGCCGGACACCTGCTGATATTCAGGAGTCTGATTTCTTCTTCTTTTTAATGCTAAAAAAGATGATTATTTATTACCTGCTGTGTTAGTAAGCCAAAAAGTGGGCTTCACGTGCAGATACTCCCTGTTCAGAGACCGCCCAAGGAACCAGGCAGGCCCCAGCTCAGCAGCCATCAGGCTGCAGCCCGACAGGCGTTCGGGGAAAGATAGGAAGTGGTCCCCACCACCTGCCGGCCAACAGTTCTTCCTGCAGTCAGGCCACTACGGGCCCTGGCCAGGTCCCCAAACAAGTGAGCTCGGCCGTCGCCGCCCCTGCCTCCGCCGCGCCCCGCCGAGTCGGGGGCTGCGCTGGCGGCGCCGCGAGCCGGGCGCGCTTCCCGGCGCGGGAGGGGGAGGGGAGGGGGCGGCGCCGCGCGGGGCGGAGCTAGGGCGCCTCCCGGAGCCTTATTCCCGGCCGCGCGCCCGGAGCGCTCAGTCTGTTGAGGAAGCTGCGCGCAGCACGCGGGTGCTCGGCCTGACCCAGGTGCAGCGGCTCGGGCGCACGGACAGAAGCACACCAGCCGCGAGCTGCGCGCGGGTCGCCAGGCCGGGCTTGCATCCCCCCCACACTCCCCAGAAGAGGACAGCAGACGGTACCCCGGCGAATCTCCTGCGCCCCGGCCGCCTGGCTCCCCCGCCAGCCCCTTGGCCGCCGCCTTCAAAGTGATCGCTCCTTCGCCTTATCCACTTGGTCCGGGACCATGAAGCTGTTGCCGTCGGCGGTGCTGAAGCTCTTTCTGGCTGCAGGTAAGACGGCTGCCGACGCCCCCCGGAGGTCGCGGGCGAAGGGGGCGCTGTGCTGGGTGCACGGGGAGGAAGGTCGCTACAGCTCCCCCGGCGCGGGCCACTTGGTGGGGCCCGTGCGCCCTGGCGGCCGAGCGGGCGTGGGCATAGGTGCGAGGTGGCCCCCAGGGTCGGGGATAAGGGTCTGATGCGGCCTCGCTCCTCGCCTTGCAGTGCTGTCCTCTCTGGTGACTGGTGACAGCTTGGAACGGCTTCGGAGGGGGTTGGCAGCTGCAACCAGCAACCCAGACCCTCCCACTGGAGCTACGGATCAGCTGCTGTCTACAGGAGGTGCCCGAGGCCGGGAAATACTGGACTTGGAAAACACAGATCTGTACAGAGGTAGGTGTGAAGGCCGCTGTGCGACTCGGCTGGGCAGTTGAACAATGAGCTCACCTGAGGTTCCTGCTGTTTGATTAGCCTTGTGAAGTGGGGGTGAGGTGGGGATGGGATGTGGAGGACATTCATGAAGCACCCCAAGAAAAAGCTGTCCAGCCTGTCAGGAGGACTGGAGGATGTCCTGGAATACACATCTCTGTCTGCCTTGTCCTTGTCCTGCTGGGTGGCTGTCCTGCTTTGGAGCAAATTGATGCTGGAAAGTTATCCTCCCAGCCTCTGAGGGAAGGTGCTTGTGGGGAAAAGGAATGACTGAGATGCTTTCCCCAGAGTTCCTATGTGACATGGTTGTGCGTCCCAGCTCCCATGGCCGCTAACCATTATGTATAAACTAGAGGTAACAGACCTGGACATTCCTGGGAGTGTAGGGACCATGTGTAGTGTCGGTCCTCCCATATGAGGAGGCCCTCCCTCCAGGCCAGAGTCACAGAAGGCAATGAGGAAGCTCTTGGTCTCCATAGGTGAGGCCAGCACCTCTGGGAGAGGTGATAAGCACTAGGTCCCTGGAGAGCTGTTAAAATACTAGATATCTGTGACTACCCCAACGCCCCGAGACTTCCCAACCACCTTGAGTCCCTAAGGGAAGGGCCACGTGGGGCTCTTCCACCTAGCCTATGTGGCTGTGGCTGGGCACAAACCCAGGGCAGAGTCCAGAGCCTGCTAGCTTCCGGGGCCAGCCACCTGCAGTGATTCTCTGAGGGTGGAGCAGGCACCAAGGGCCAGGAGCCCCGGAATGACCATATTTGGTTGGAAAGCATCTCACCTGTTCTAGCCCTAGTGTCCTAGGCCGTCTCACTCCCTCTTCACATATAGAGCTTTCTCTGAGTGCTGTTTTCGCTTTGTATAAACCAAGAGCATGCACTCCGAAGCCCTGGGCTCTCACCCTCACTGTGGCCCTCTGGGGGTCCCCCAGGTCCTGGATTCTCTTGGCCCTCTGCTCCTAGGCTGGGCGGGGCTGGGGTATGACTCATCCCCCACCCCCATGGCTGCTCCTCATACCTCTTCAGACCTGACTCACTGCTCCCTCTCCCCAGCAGGCAGGCAGAAGCCTGGCTGGCACCCGGCCACTCTCCCTCCCAATTCTGATTGGTTGTCCGCCCTGGTCACTGCGTTCTTCTGACCACCTGCCTCACCTGAGCCCTGAAGGGATCCAGGAATGGATTCAAACAACCTTAGGCCTACCTATGGGGCTGTAACACCCACTCCTTCTCTTGCCTTCACTGGGGAAAGGAACAATTTTTCCAGATCCGAAGAGCCAGTCTAAAATAAGTAGCTACTCCCGTTCCTCAAATGCCTAAGGTGTTCTAGGCATTTGGCGTGATAGCCAGGTTGACTTAACCCTGGTTGTAAGCTTCTGCAGCATTTGACCAGGAACCCCAAGTTACAGTGAAGTTAAGTGATGGGGGCCCAAGGTTATGTGGCTAAAACCAGAGCACATGTCTGCTGACTTCAGGGCCCATTCATTCCTGGCTCTCCATCTGGGATGCTCTAGACTGCTGGGAAGAAGGAGATAGGAGTGTGTGAGGCAACCTGCTGTGCTGGGGAATAACACTGGACTGGGAGTCCAAAGACCACAGTGCCAGCTGCAGCCCTGTAAGTCACACCACCTTTGGGAACCTCAAGATTTGCATCTGATATTCTTGGGAGTCTCTCCTAGCTTGTGGGTGTCAGGGCTCCAGTCTAACGTATCCTCCCCTTCATCTTCTAGACACATGGCTGTAGCTGTGGATTTGGGCACCTCTTTCCTGCTAGGCGACAGGGAAATGGAGTGTTTGGGGGTGAGGCTGGTGCCATATCCCTGGGATAATGGGTGTAGTCCACGGTCAGTCCCAGCTGGGTGTCTGGGTGAGGTTGTTTTTTTATCCTAGTCTCACTGAAGCCTGGAAAATGTTGGGGAGAAGGGCAAGACTGTGGAGGGGGGAGTGTGTACAGTCATTGCTGTTCTCATTCATTTTAGTTCCTTCCTTTTCATCTCTTGACCCCCTTATACACATTGTATCCCCCTCCCCAAATTTGGGAACAGGACATTTGGGGGTAGATGTAAGTGGATCTTTGAGAACTCAGGTGAGCTGTGAAGGGCATAAAGCAGGGTTAACTCTGCTTATAACAAAGGCCCTGTCCAGGGTGACCTGCTTGCTGTTCCCAAGCCAGACTGTGCCCTGGACTTATGGTACTCATGGTATCGTAGGTCTGACAGAACCCCCCTTAGGACATGTGGCTGGAAAGACATGGACACTTTTTCTTTTGGGAGTCTTCTCACCCCAGAACCTCCAAGTATCTTCCCCAGATATGTTTCACATTTGTGACTCTGCCTGCAATTGGGTCACCAAGTGCAGCATAGGGAATAGTGGGTGTGGATAAGGCTGGTGGCATTAACTGGTGAGCTGTCATCAACCCACATCACCCAAATCAGGTTCTTCAGCGGGGTTTGTGGAGTGCTTCTCAGGGACCCACTGTGGTCTCTGCATCCCTCCAAGGTTCCCTGTGTCTGGAGGTTCATTCCAGTCTGTCCTTCAGCCCCTGGGAGGCACCAAGCAAGAGGGAGTCTCCCCAGCCTCTGCCAGCAGAGGGTTCCCAGGGGGCACACTGCTTCCAGGCATCATGCTGCCCTCATATTTTTCCCACTGGAAAAGTCAAAGGCTCACTGAGCTGCCTCTTTCCTGCAGCTGCGTTCTCCTCCCAGCCACAAGCTCTGGCCACACCAAGCAAGGAGGAGCGTGGGAAGAAAAAGAAGAAAGGCAAGGGGTTAGGAAAGAAGAGAGACCCGTGTCTGAAGAAATACAAAGACTTCTGCATCCACGGGGAATGCAAGTACCTGAAGGAGCTCCGAGCACCCTCCTGCATGTGAGTGTTCCCTGCCCTAGGCTGGCTCTCCTCGGCACCCTCACTCTCAGCCACGTGGCTGGCTGTTCCTTATTGTCACTATTCCTTGAACTCATCACCATCTCACCCGGTTTCTTCATAACCTCTGAGCGGAAGTCGGGAGGAGGGAAAATATTTTTAGTCAGCGGAAGGGCCCCCTCCCCACCACCAAAGAGGATGCAATTTCCTGTGGTGTGGGTTTGTGACGCTGTCTTTAATCCTTGGGGATGTTTCCTGCTTGCCCAGAAATGAATGTAACTCAGTGTGGCTAGGAGAGCTGGCACCTGGAGGCAGGTCCTTTGGGGAGAAGCCAGTGGGAAGCAAAGATAGAGTGGACACTGCCGTGCAACACAGCTCCTGCAGGCAGGGATGGGGTATGCTGGGACACGGGCTGTGCAAGTGTTTATGCAATCTGGGGTGTGTGTGTATGTGTGGGCACACACATGGGAGTGGGCAGACGTGGAGGAGTTCTGCAGCATGGCATGACTAGGCAGAAAGGAACTATCCTGGGACCAGTTGAAGTCCCAGCATCATGGAGGGTGTTGGCCTTTGGCCAAGAGGGTGGGAGAACACTTCCTGTGTGCAGCCTTTGTAGGAAGTGGACTCGAACGCAGCAGGCCTCTGTCCTTGGTCAGCAGCAGCACTCCTTCCTTGGGTCAGGCGCGTGGGCAGACCGGGGCCATGGGTCCCTTAGCCTCCCTTCTAGAGGCTGTGCCCAGCCAATGGCTGCTGCCTTGGCAACCCCTCGGGGTGACAGCACGGCTGTGCTCTTGGGCAGACATAATGTCCCCTCTGTGCCCAAGGCCAACACCCCACGTCAGGCCACAAGCATCCATCCTCCTCCCTGGCTGGGGGCAGGCTCTAGGGGCCTTGTGACCTAGGAGCCCCTGGCCAGGACCAGGAAGCTGTTGTACACACACATGCTATCTCCCAACCTATCCAAACAGCTGATGGCCTGGTGCAATGCTGGTACAGATCCCCATCCCCTATTTTGTTTTTTATTTTTCCAGCTCCCTGGTCCCTGTCTGATGACATGTAGCACAGCTGCCCTGAATTTGCAGTTGGCAGGCAGACCTACCCCTTCCTGCCACATCCAGTCCATATGTGGGTCCTTTCTTTATCACATCTTCACCAAGAGCTTGGTATTGGAGAGGTTTTAAAAATGACATGGAGAGTTCCCCTGCGTTCATCTTCCCAAAGTCTTAGGACAAGGCAGGCAATGTTGTCTTAAATTTGTAACATGGCATCATTAGCACAGGGTGGAGAACGTGACTGGGAGTCTGCTAGTCAAGATGAATGGAGGCCAGGGGCCCGTCTAGGCTGAGTTGGGTCAGGGCATTCTGCTTGGGTGGAAATGGGGCTGCCCTGAGCTGTTGAGAAGCCTTGTGAGGCTGTCATGCTGCCCAGCTGGACTCAGCTGACCAGTTGTGCTCAGAGAAGATGACAAGCATGTCCAGGGAAACCTTTCTGGTAACACTAGTGACAATGATTTCAAAGAGTACAATGATTTCATCTCTGCTTTCTCCCAAAGCTTTCCTGTTTACCCTAACTTTGCCTGGAACCCAACAGGTGTGTGGAGCCCCTGCTTGGTGCCAGATGCAGTTCTAGGTAGTAGGGAAGAGAACTGTTTCTTGGGATTTTGGGGGTAGGGAAGACTTGCTTTCTCTGCTTGAAAAATGGGAAAACTGGAGCCAGGAAGGAGGAAGCCATTTGCCCGAGGTCAGTTACTAAATAACATGGATACAAATGGGACAGGATTGCTGGTGCCCAACTCCCAAAGCAGGATGCTTTTTGTAGCCGCTAGTTGCACTGAATATGACTTTCATGCTTCTTCCTATCCCTGTCCCTACAGAGCAGAATTTGAGCAGAACTGTGTGGAAGGCAACTGTTGCTGTCCTGCAGGGCTCTTAGGGCTTGTACTAGCCTGACAGCATAGTTGTTGGACTGTAACACTTAATGCTAGCTTCCCAGGAGGTGGATTTTGTATGTGCTCCGTCTGCCCCCTGTGATGGACAGCAACAAGAAGGACCCAGAGCTACTGGTCTGGGGGCAGTGTGGCATCCATGCACTCATATCCGGGCCTCTTTGCAGCTCCTCTTTGCCTCCAGGCCCAGGAACCATCAGGCAGGGTGCACCCAGGCTTCTGCGGTGAGCCTGAGGCTAGTTGGCTCTCTACACCAGCTCTCGGCAGGCACCACCAACAGGAAAACCCTTTTGTGTCACCAGCCAAAAGTTGCCCTCAAAAAAATAGCCTCCCAGAGGCTGCTGACCCAGAAATTGGCTACTGAGCTTCCTGTGGCCGAAGGGAACCTGGGGACAGCAGGGCTGAGGCGGATTCAGAACCTAGAGTTCCATAAGTATCCCACTGCTCACAGGCCACAAGGGAATGGCAAGGCCCCTTTCCCTTTGGCTCCACTGCCAATGGGGCCCTGTTTCTCATGATGCAGGCAGTTCGATGACATCCAAACTCTTGTACTTGGACCTGGCCCTGTATTAATGCTGTCATGTACCTTCACTTGCTTGATCCTTATCAGTCCTCTAGCAAGGTAGACATTTATGCTCTGAGTTTTGCATGTGGAAACCCAAGTTTAGACAGGTAATGGGTACCAGTCCAAGATCAGCTGGCTGGAAATCAGAGCAGAACCAGTCTGGAATCGGGTTTTATGAGTCCCCTCCTTTTCCCAGGGTTGGGGGAGGGAGCAGAAGTCACTGGAATCAATTGGATCCTGGGCTTCTGTTGTAATACAAGTCCTGAAATGGGCCACGTGCAGTAGGAATGTGTTCTACTTTGATGGGAAGCTGGCTGTGGGTGAGGGCACACATGATCCCAGGAGGCTTGGAATGTCCCCCTCCCTCTCCTGTCTCCCCACCACCTTACCCCACCTTGGGGGAGAAGTCAGTGAAGGGAGGGGGAGGGGTAATATTAGGATGTTTACATTATTATCCTCTTGACTCAGTGTGGGGTGGACGGATTATGTAACTGAATTGTGGGCCTGTGAGGCCAAGCTTTATTTCTATCATCTGAGTAACTACCTGTGGGGCTAGGGTAAGGGAAAACAGACTCTGGACTTGAGCTTCTCCCACCCCACCCTGGGGCTGCAGTCCCAAAGTCACCACCAGCTCTGTAACTCTGGGCAAGTCAGTGAACAACGTTAAGCCTCAGTCTCTGCTTTAAAATGGGGATGGTAAATGGGGATGGTAACTTGGACTAAACAAGAGACGGTTTTAAGATTAAGCAAATTTATCCTTGGAAAGCAGTTCATGTGGGGTTCTTGGCTCCTGGGAAGCCTTTGGTGCTTGCTATTTTATTATGACTTATTACTCAGATTGTGACTAAATACTAAGAATGCTCAAGTCAGAGAGCAGGCTCAGAACAGATGCCCTCTCTGATTTCCTCAGAGCTCCCTATAGGGTACAGAAGGGGAGGAATCATGAATGCAGAATCTGCCGAGACGGGTTCCCAGTCTTGGCCCTGCCACTGCCTTACAGTGAAACTTCTGGTAAATGATTTAACTTTTGTAAACCTTCGTCTGAGCCTTGCAATCTGTGAAACTCGGCAGTACCTGCCTGCCAGACTGTTGGGAGGCGCAGCTGACCTAGTCCATGAGGGCAATGCCTGTTAACTCTCAGCTAAGTTTCGTACAAGTGACTGACCACAAGCATTCCTGCTTCCCCTGCAGCCAGGCAGGGAGAGGGTCTGTTTTTTGTCCGCCTGAGCTGATTGGACACAAGTATGGAAAGGCTGGACGAGGACCTGTGCCCCTGGGAAGGCTGGGCCTGCTCCTTGGAGATTCCCTGGGACACAGCCTCCTTCCCAGAGAAGGCACAGCTTAGAATCAGATCTCAGCATTTTCTTTAGTGACTAGTGGCTTCAAGTCCGCAGGCAGCCAGTAGTGCCCCACTTCCTGCACCTCTCAGCTGGCTGCTGTGGATTTGTGGGATGCAAGCAGGCAGCCCACAATGCATGTGCGCGTTTTTGCTTTGCTGTCTGACCTTCAGACCAAGACCCCTTTCTGTACAATGGGGCTCTTACCTGCATCAGGGAGTCTGGGGTGTTCAGATAAGGAAGGGTTACGAATGTGCCTGTTTGACTGGAAGCACTTCCGAGTCGTCCAGGGAGCTTCCAGGAAGTGCTTTGTGTTGGAGGAGGCAGTTGGCTGTATGATTTATTTCTTGAGTGGAAAGAGCCAAGGGATTGTTTCTGACATTCTTCCAACCCTCCGGCAGGGAAGCTGGGCAGGAAGATGTTATCTGGGATTGTTTGCTTTGTCCGGTGCCAAAGGAGGCACATGGGGAGTCCAGAGGCAAAGGCCAAAGTAAAGCCCCCACATTGAATGCTGCAGCACCCCTCCCAACCCTGGGTTGAATGAAGGAAACTTGAGGAAAAAAAAAAAAAGACTCCTGGCAAAGGGATGGGGCCTATTAATAGGCTGGGCAGTGGTGGGGCAGGACTGGATGCTAGACACTTTAATGGGCAAGGCTGGGTTTATTTCTGGTCAGTGCTGAGAGGGGCCTCTGCACAGGGAATGGCCCCGAATCCCCTCCACTGTGCCCGCGGCTCTTATGCACATGTCCTCTACAGTCATTTAAACACAGCACCCTGGTACACATGCAATATATCAGCCACATGTGGATCCCATCTAGTGGAGACCTTCACATCCTCCCTCACTTTTTCCCTGCCTGGAGCAGGACTCACAGGCCGGAGAGAAGCAGAGGGGACGGAGATGGGGGAGGAGGACCATACAGCCTTTCAGAGGGGCTTCCAGTATCCTCAAGGGGGTGGGGGTCATGCTCAGACAGCAACAGGTCCAAGGGGGAGAAGAGTGAGCTTTGGCTTTTGTGGGTGGGGCCATTTCTAACCTTGCCTCCTCCTCCATTTCGTCTTGATGTAGCTGCCACCCAGGTTACCACGGAGAGAGGTGCCACGGGTTGAGCCTCCCGGTGGAAAATCGCCTGTACACCTATGACCATACAACCATCCTGGCCGTGGTGGCTGTGGTGCTCTCATCTGTCTGTCTGCTTGTCATCGTGGGGCTGCTCATGTTCAGGTGAGTGTTGGGGATGCAGCAGGCCATTTCTGCATGCCACTCCCATTCCCTCTCCTTTCTCAGATGGTCTTCAACCCGACCCCTCCCTACATCTCGGACTAATTCCTGGGTGCAAGTTCTTCTCTGGAATTCGGAGTTCTTTGGCATGCTGAGATGCTGAGGGTCCAGAGTCCAGGGTGAAACTCGCTGGGCCACAGGTGGCTGTGCTTCTCCAAAAGGCCTTAGTTTCTTCCTTCCTCCATGGCCCAGCCAGTCACTCATGAAGTCATCACTTCATACATTGCTTTGTCCTGGCTCTGTTCTTAGGAAGTACTAGTTTGTCTATGAGTGTTGGCAGTCAGATCATGAAGGATGCTCCTGGTCTGTCTTTCCCATTCGGATACAGCAGGTATATTACAGGTGGGAGCAGATCCCTCAAGGACCCTCTGTCTGTTTCCAGGCAGGGCAGTTTGTCTCTGGGGAGGCCCTGCCACAAGTTACCTGGAGGGAGGAGCGTAATCTTTGAGTGATGGCCAGCTCTGCAGAAGCTAGTAGTGAGGATCAGATAAGGTGAAAGCTCTCTCTCACCTGCAGCGCTCAGGACAGGAAGGCATTTGACCCCTGACCCTGCTGGGCTGCTTTATCCTCAGGGATTTGCCAGGCAGTGGAGGGACCATCTGTAACATCCACTCCTTTGAGCAGTAGGTGTGCAGGCAGATTTCATTCATGAAATGCCTCTTCTTCAGGTACCATAGGAGAGGAGGTTACGACGTGGAAAATGAGGAGAAGGTGAAGTTGGGCATGACGAATTCCCACTGAAAGAAACCTGTGTTCAAGGTAATGACCTGTCCTTGACTCCTGGAACTCTCCCTACCTTTCCTGGATTTATTCTACTGAGTGCTGAATTCTTCTTCTGCCTTAGGAGTTGGGTTGGGGGACAGATTGCTGTGGGGCCAGGGTCCCATGGCAGTGTTGTTCCCGAAAGACTCATGTGGGGTCTGGATTTGAAATAGTAGTTAAAATGCTGCTTGGGATGCCTGTATCACTTATTGGAGTGCCTGGGTTCAAGTCCCATCTGAATTGCTGATTCCAGTTTCCTGCTAATGCACACTCTGAGACACCAGCTGATCATGGCTGGGATAGTCATTTAAAAAAAAAAAAAAGATTTATTTATTTATTTGAAAGAGTTATACAAAGAGAAGAAGAAACAGAGATCTTCCATCCATTGGTTCACTCCCCAAATAGCCACAAGAACTGGCGCTGAGCTGAGTCAAAAACAGAAATATGGAGCTTCTTCCAGATCCCCCACCTGGGTGCAGTATCTCCAAGCACTTAGGCCATCTTCTGCTACTCTTCCATGTGCATTATCAAGCAGCTGTTTCTAAAGTGGAACAGCCAAGTCTTGAACCAGCACATATATGGGATGCTCTGTCACAGGTGTAGCTTTACCCACTGCACCACAACACCAGGCCCATAACAAGGATAGTTGAGTCCTTACTAGCCCTTTAGGAGATCTAGATGAAAATCCCAGCTTTCTCTTGTCCCAGCCTGGACCATTTTGCACATTCAGAGGGCAAACTAGCAGCATAGAGCTCTGTCTGCTGTCTGTTGCTCCTGCAAGTAAATAAATGAACGAATATTTTTAGGAAAGATTGTTGTTGCTTCTCCACTTATGACAAAAGTGGCTAAAGAGTTACCCAAGAAAGACGCCTGAGAGTGAAGCTTCTACACTTCTCATGCGCTCTCCCACTGCTTCCCAGATGCTCTTTCCACTTACTAAGTCTGGCCCTGGGAGACTAAAGGTCTCTTTAGACCACACCCAGCTTTAATGGCCTGCCTTCCTCTGGTGCTGTAGGAATTGGCGGGGATGCCTACCTCTGAGAAGACCCAAGGCCGTCGCAGACTCCACAGAGGGAAAGGACTTCACGTCTAGCTGGGAAGACTCCTTTGTCCCCATTTACTATCTCAATTGGGCCTCCCATCATCGCTTTGCCAAAATGCCAGAGCCGTCACGTGCCAGACTGAACGTATCCAATGGGATCTGCATCAGAAGAGAGTGAAAGCAAGGGACCTCCATGCCTTCCTGATTCCACTAACCCCCACGTCCTCCACGACTTCGGACACGTTGGTTCTGGATTCAAATGCCAGTAAAATTCATATGCCCCAGGATCTTTGGATGAAAAAAAAAAAAGAAACAGATAAATAACTAAATTGTAAAAAAAGGAAGGAGAAGAGAAAGAAGGAAAGATTTGTGTACTGGAAGAAAAGCAGCAGAAAAGCCATGTACTCAAGTAGCCACTAAGGGATTGGCCATTTGGAACCTCTAGTGCTGGCTTTGATGAGCTAACTGTGAAAACCACAAGCCCAAGAACTTTTGAATTTTGGGACTTCTACCCAGATGGAAAAAATAACAACTATTTTTGTTTGTTTGTTTTGTTTGTTTGTAAAATGCCTCTTAAATTATATATTTATTTTATTCTATGTATGTTAATTTATTTAGTTTTTAACAATCTAACAATAATATTTCAAGTGCCTAGACTGTTACTTTGGCAGATGTCCTGGCGCTCCACCTTGCAACCCCACCGTCAGCTCAGCGCCATCACCTGAGATGGTTCTGTTACCCCCATCTGTTGGAACTTGTTGTCTGTCTACATTTCTGAACATCATCTTCTGGGGTCAGAGAGTATAGGAGGGGTTGTGCCTGGTCAGGATGTAGGGGTGAACTTGGTCAGAGCCACTCTGTGAGTTGGACTGCAGTCTTGACTAGGCGATTTTGTCTACTGTTTGTGTTTTGAAAGCCCAAGGTGCTGATGTCAATGTGTAACAGATATCGGTGTTTGCCCCATGTCCTCTCCCCAACCCAGTTTCAGTCTCCCATGCCTTCAGCTTCCCCTCACCCCTGCCCCCCTGCAATCTCTCCTCTCCGGCAGTGTGGGAACTCATACCTCCCCTAACCGCCGCACCCCACCCCACAAGCTCCCATCCTGTGTCAAGACATTTCTCCCAGCTTCTGCCATTCTTCTGGTGCTACTCCACACAGGGGTCAATGCAGCAGAGGATTGTCTGGAGAAGGTGGTAGCAAAGGAAAAGGCGAGAAGGAACAGGGAATGTTGTAGTCAACTGTTACTGATTGGTTACTGGCTCACTGTGGCCAGTGGTGCAGAGAAGGTTGGAGGTGGGGAAGGCTCTTGTGTAACCCCACCTTTCTCACTGAACTACTATAAAGGTTTGCTGTAATGGTCTCTTCTGGAAGTTTCTGGTGCCATTTCTGAACTGTTACAACTTGTATTTCCAAACATGGTTCGTATTTATATTTGCAATCCAAATAAAGATAACCCTTACTCCATAGCCTCTATCTGTTTTAATGGGGAACTGGCTTAACATGGGTTATTTTCAAAGTCGTGCTTTAGTGTTAGCCTCTAAACTGGGCCTACTATGTATATTGTCTAAGCATTTTCTTTTCTTTTTTTTTTTTTAAAGATTTAGTTATTTTATTGGAAAGGCAGATGTACAGAGAGGAAGATCTTTCATCTAATGATTCATTCCCCAAGTGGCCACAATGGCCGGTGCTGCGCCAACCTGAAACCAGGAACTAGGAACTTCTTTCCAGGTCTCCCACGTGGTTGCAGAGTCCCAAGGGCTTTGGGCCATCCTTGACTGCTTTTCCAGACTACAAGCAGGGAGCTGGATGGGATGTGGAGCTGCCAGGATTAGAACTGGCACCTATATGGGATCCCGGCGCATTCAAGGCGAGGACCTTAACCATTACGCTATTGTGCTGGGCCCCTGTCTAAGCATTTTCAACAGTTCTATAATGGAGGGACTCTTACTGCCCCATTTCTCTGGAAGTGGAAACTGAGACTAATTATTTAACTTGCCTGAAGACACTTAGTGACAGGACTGGGACTAGTTGTCCGAGTCTAATACTTTTGTCTCAATACTTATACCATACCTCCTGTGAGATGAGAAATAGACTTTGCTCAGAAAGTCGGGCTGGCTACAATCCACCCATTTAGTTGGCAAGACCTGGACTCTGGTCAAGTACCATCCATGCAAGCCTGAAGGCTTTGCTCCTGGCAAAAAGGAGACCTCTTACTCTTGCTCTATAGCCCATTCACCAGAAAAAAAAAAAAATATATATATATATATATATTTAAAATGTATTTATTTTATTTGAAAGGCAGAGACAAAGTCCTTCCACCTGCTCCACCAGCAAATTTTGTCAGCCCCAGGCCCACCTTTAGAATACATGTGGTATGCAACTTCTGCTCACTGCCACTGCTATCACCCAGTGCAACTTGCCATCCTCCCCTGCCAAGACTACTACCACGGCCTCCATTCTCTAGTTCCAGCTTGTTTTTATAGGGCCTGTTGCCAACATCATAGCCAGAATGATTGTTTTAAGATGTAATTTGGCTCTCGTCTACCCTGCAGACCTCCCCGATGATCCTGACATACAATAGCACAATCCTCCTACCCCATTGTTATTCCCTTTACATTGCTTTATATTTCTCCATCTCAAGCAGCTCTTACACATTCATGTCAGTTGTCCATTTCTCCCATTAGCAACATGAAGGTAGTAGTGGGTCCATTACTCCAAGACCAGAATCCGAGATAATACAAATGAGTTATGGGAATTCAGTATTTATTTGAATGAATGAACATCAGCAACAAAATCCAGTCTAGACCACTAAGTGAACAGACTGCAATCTGATGCTGCCCCGAAAGCATGGTTGGGTTTAGACACCAGCCTCCCTTGAGGAGAGTGGATGGGGATGACAGCATGACAGTGGAATTTGGGCCATATCATGTAACATGGTACCCTGAGTGGGTTGGAGGCAGAGAAGGCCATTAGAATGCCATTCAACAAGTGTCATCGGAGTTCGCCCCCTGCCTGTTCTCTCAGGTACCAACTGAAGAGTTGGTACCATCTGAAGTTCTTCCAGGAGCCCACACAGAGATCTTGGATGTACTGTGAATATCACTTTAACAGCAATTACTTCCGAAGCTATCCATATGCACACGCAACATATGGTTCCAATCCAAGGGGCACATGCAAGAGAAGAGAATACAAATGTTCCCTGAAATATGTACAAGAGTGAATTGAGCTTTCATGAACAATGACTGCAATCTGGAAATCACCCCAATACTCATCAGTGTATGATGATGAAAGGAACAAATAAGCAGTGGAGTACCTGCAGAGCGAAACATCAAATAGTGATAGGGATGAGTCTCCCAATGTGTGTGAACAAAGCCAGACACACAAGTATGCTCTGGGTGACTCCATGTATTTAACATTTACCAACATACAGAAAGGATGTCAGAAATAACTGCCCTCATGAACTCCTTTGATCTCGCCTAGGGACTCCCTTTCCTGCTTCCAGGCTCCAAGCTCAAACCTCTACCCGGGCTGAGCTTTTCCGCTCAGACTTTGTTTCTCCCATGGAGGCTTCCTGCAGGCTCAGGGCTTCCTGCTTGGCAGCTGCCCCTCCTTGTCCCCCATGTTGCTGACCAGGGAGCTGCCCTCTGTGGTGGAACAGCCTCCTTAGTCTTCTTGTGTGGAATGGTTGGGAATGGTTGGGAGCCTGTGAACCTGCAGTCGCTTCCCAACCTCACACGGAATGCAGCCCCTGGAGCCCTGAAGAATGCTCTTGCATGTGGGGTGGTGCAGGCTTCCCTTGCAGCCCCCTTTGACACATTTCCTTTGACAATATTCCCATTGAGCTCACTGGGAGACACGGGACCACACACTTCCCGGCTCTCACCCCAACCTAGAGAGGAGGTACAGAGATATTAAAGGGTTTAGGGGCAGCTGAACTGCCCAGCTGCTAAGCCAGCCTTCTGAAACAATCATGTGTCAGACTTTTCTTATAAGGTCTGAAGCCATTCACAAAGCAATTATATGAAAAAAAAAATTGAGAGAAGAATTCCATAGAGCTCAACTACTCTCCCTGGCCCCTCCCCAGATGAGATTCACAAAAAGTGGCCCAAGGTGCTTTATGGGAGGGGCAATGGAGGCAGCAATCCTGTAGGCTGTTCCCAAGTTGGGTCTATGTCCAGGTGCCACTGTTTATTAGGGTAGTGCTTGCACTCATGGACCATACCCTCTCTGGACCTATCTAAAAAAGTGGAGATCCTAAAAATGCTTACCTTGAAATGTTGCAGAAATTAAACATGTGAGCAAAGTGTCTCTCCAAGCCACGCATGAGCTAGCTGCTCAGTAAATGCTGGTTATCTCCCAGGAACTAATTAGCAGCACAGCTAGGATTGAAGCCCAGGCATGTGCTATTGAATTCGTAATCCTTTCCCTAGCAACAAACTTGGCTTTTCAACTGCCGCTGCATGCTTTAATGTCAGCTTCACTTTTGAGGGATCCCTGAAGGATCTCAGCAAGGGGCTGTGGGCTTACCAGGCCAAGGAGCAGCAACTCTGTCGAAATAGATTGCTTCCACTCAACCAGCCTGAAATTCTTCTCTTTGTCAACAATGCCTGAAATTCAAGCTTCCTGTTGGAGAATGCTGATGCTCCTGGGAATAGCTGCGCCTTGAGAGGCTGACATTCCTTGGTAGTGTAATTCATTTTCACGTCATTCACTTAGCAAATATTTGTGGAGACCTCCCTATCACCTTCCAGATGAGAGCCAGGCTCTGACTGGGTGGGGTATTTGGATGCAGTGAGGGTGCAGGGAAAGGAAAAATGATCCTGAATCAAGGACATTCATTTTTTAAAAAAAGCACTTAAAATGGACCCAGAGATATTTTTGTCACTGGAGAATCAGTCCCTTGTCAGTGGACAATCCTGATACACAGACCAACCATGTGAGCTTGAAGAAAGAAATAGGCTTTAATCAGGGGTGGCCATATGGGCACCAGTTTGTGTCCTGGCTGCTATACTTCCCAACCAGCTCCCTGCCTGTGGCCTGGGAAAGCAGTTGAGGATGGCCCAAAGGCTTGGGACTCTGCACCTGCGTGGGAGAGCCAGAAGAAGCTCCTGGCTTCAGATTGGCTCAGCTCTGGCTGTTATGACCATTTGGGGAGTGAACCAGCAGAAGGAAGATCTTTCTGTTTCTGCTTCTCTCTGTAAATTTGCCTTTCCAACAAAAATAAATAAATCTTTAAAAAAAAAAAAAGAAAAGAAAAGGAAGGGAAAGAAGAAATGGAAGAAATGGGTCATATCCTGAGGAAGAAGTAACACTTTGCTCTACCTGTCCTCTCCCCAGCCCTCGCTCCCCAACCAGCACATCACAGGGAAGTGCTGAAGAGTTGCTGAGAACAGTTCATTACCCCAGGTGCCTCAATAGAGATAATTTCTGAAGATGTAACATAACACCTGAATTGAGACAACTGAGGATGAGGCACAACAAAGTGTGAGGTCCAGAGAGGACACAAGCGCCCTCTCAGGAAGGGCTGTATCCTGCTGCAGCGTAGGCATCTGAGATCCAAGAGGTAAGGCCAGGGCCAGCTCCCAGAGAGTCTTGCTGGCGTGGGAGTCTGTGGGGACTTCTGAGCAGCAGAATGGCTGGTTTGCTTTAGATAAGAGACCCTGCTGTGCAGAGAGGGGATCCTAAGCAGCACAGCGAAACAAGAAGAGCAGTGAAGGAGTCAGGTAGGTGAGAGGTGGCAGTGCTTTGGACGAGGGTGGCTGGGGCCTAGATGGTGAGGAATGCTCACATTCCCACCATGCTTGAGAGATGTGCTGACGGAGTGAATGTGGCTGCTGTGGGAGAGCAAGGAGCATCAAGGATGGCTCCCTGAATTTTAGCCTGAGCCATGATGTAGACCAGGGCCCTGGTCATCAAAACATAAAGGAGTGGGGCAAGGGTGTGGGGAGCATGTTTACAAGAGCTATGATGCCAAATACACAGTATGTGTCGAGGAGGAGAGGGAGGTGGTGGTTAATCTCTATGGCTACAGAGGGGCCAGGGACAGGAAGTGGCACTCACTGTACAGAAGAGGCAAGGGAGGTCCATGTTCCCCATAAGTCAGGAAAGGATAAGGACCTGGTCCTGGTGCAGGGTTCCTCAGCTCTATAATGTGCTTCTTTGATAAGATCTTAGTCAACCTTCACACATCGTGCAGGAGAGGGAGTGTCTTGATGTTCCAGGACTCACAGGCTTAACCAAGGAAAGCAATTTTCCACCAGGCTGCTGTGCCCAGGACAGTTCCAGTTGCTCAGGGTCCAAGAAGGCCCAGCGTGGCCACTGTCTCCTGGCATTAGGCTCTGTGCTTTCCTCCTAGCTGTACAGCGGCAGCCAGGCCAGGCCAGGCCTCCAGTAAGCCAGGTGCCAGGCAAAGCAGCCCTGAGGCCAAACTCAAGGTGGAGTGCAGGTGGAATCTCTCGCATTGCCC